AGAGGAGAGGCAGCGCTCAGTCAGATCATTGTTGGAGAAATCCTCAGAGGACAAAGCAGGCGTCTCGTGATTGAGTCATGCAGCCAGGCCTGAGCTTTAAATAGGCCACTGAAACTTTGCAGACGGCCCGAGCCAACAGAACCACAAGCTCTCGTTTCTCTCCCGTTTTTTCCTTCAAAACTGTTTCTCCTCTTTCGTTGTCCTCTTATTTCCCTCTCTGCCTCCCAGAACTCATTTGTCATTGTGGCCTGATTATTTCAGCCTCTGTCTTGTGTTGCTCCTCTCTTTGTGGCTGTTCCAGCTCAGTCCTGGACCGGACTTTCCACTCGGTCTCCTCGTGGTTCTGGGCTGGTAACCTGACCACAGAGGTGTTCATTCATATTCGTTTGTGCTCATTATGAAGCATCATTCTGTGTAAATCTGTTTCTTTCCAAATATCTACAGGTTCCAGCTTCTACAGAGGGAGACAGACATGGAAGACAGTTGTTTTTTTTTTGTTGTTTCATAAACTGTTTCTGTCTGGATTTGGCCCGGTTGAAAGACCCACACTGCAAAAACAAAATCTTACCAAGTATTTTTGTCTAGTTTGTGTTGTAAATTGTTTAAAATTAGACGAAACTTACTTGCAAGTAACTTTTCAGCAAGATATCGGAGCTTGTTTTAAGTCAATAACTCCTTAACATTGATAAGAAAAAGTACTAATTCCTCTGGCAGATTATTTTACTTTTAACAAGTCGATCATCTGTCACTTTTAAGGAATTACTGATTTTAAAAAAAAGCTCAGATAGTCACTTGTAAGTTAGTTTTTTCTAATTTCATGTCTACTAAGATATTTGCATTAGAAACTATAACTACTTGGTGAGATTTTATGTTTTTGCAGTGTTGTTAGCCTGCTCCCAGTCAGAGCAACACGGACGTAAGCGTCTTTATGTACTATTTTCAGAAAAAGCCTCTTCATCCACACATCCCACATTTTTCTAAGTTCGACATTTTGCAATAACGGGAGAGTCGGCTCCTGACATTCTCACAACCTACGCATTTTAGGAGTTCCATTGTGCTGATTTGAAGGTAAACTACGCCAGAGATGGGGGGATTAAATTGTGCTTCCTCTCTCTACTGTTCTGCTGGAAGAGTCCTGAAAGTGTCACTGCTTGTCATCTCCGGCTCTTTTATATGCTCCAGTTGTTGGCCGTTATCCGACATCTCCCTGTCACCTCAGACGCAGCGATGGAGGAAACGACAGGCGCAGAAAGAGAGAGAGAGACGCCGCAGTCTGCAGACCGGGAAGCTCGTTTTTGTAGCGAGGGGTTCGTCTCGGAGGGAGCTCATCTGTCAGCAGGACGGCGGGAAGCAGAGCACCTCATTTGACAATGAGGTGTTAAAAAGGTGGCCGAGCCAACGGCAAATGTGAACACTGAAGCCAACGGCAAACAGCGTCCCGCGGTCGACCGTCTGTCTGTTTCAACACTGAAGCTGACCTCTGAAAGGTCAGGCCAGGTGGAATAACTGTGGCTGATGAAGGCGGCTAAACAGACATTTCCTCCTGACAGCGCGCAGCAGCAGGACGGAAAATCACGTTCAGGGTTTTGTAAACCAACTTCTACCAGTTGTATAGTAAATCTCATTATTATGAGGGTGTATTAGGGCTGGTAGATAGAAAAACGGAGGAGGAAATTTTCCCTAAAAATTTTCTAGAAATAACCAATGAAATTTTCTTATTTGAAATGTAGAAAATTTGCTCAATTAATCTCACAGTTCAGAAGTTTTTTTCTGAAAAATTTCAGTTTTTTTTTTTAGCAAATTTTCAACTTTTTAAATTCTGAAATGTCCTTGCTTCTTTTCTTGAAAATTTCTGAGAAATGTACTCCTCTTGTTTTTTTCTATCTTTTATACGCTGCCATGTATTTTACTGCAGGTGGATAAAGTCGGTGCTGTGAAATTATTGTGTTTTCTTCCCTCCTGAAGCCAAAAAAATTATTTTCTGCTTTGCTCCGTTTCAAACATCCACCCCCTTTGGCTGGAAATCAAGGCTAAATATGAGCAATCAGAATGCCCTTGTGTGCATTCATGGCCAGAGTTGAGGATATAGAGGAAACCTGCTGCTATAAATAGAAGTAATATCACCGTAGTAGAAGAGCTTTGATGAGAAAATAAAGAACTGGCTCGCTCGCAATCACACGGAGCCCAGTTTGATAAAAGAAATCACAGAGGCTCGGATTGTTTTCCCACCTGGGGGATATTAAGTTATTAATCTGTCTTTATTCGACTTGGCTGAGTAATCAGCATCTGTTCTACTTTAATTGTTCACTTTTGTGGTTTGGTGTTTTGTTCGGAGTGAATCTAAATAGTCACCGAGTGCGCTGCGTTTTAATTTGACTTGCATGATTTGTAAGTCTGACTGACAAAACTGCTCAGAGAGCTTTAAATTGGTCTCCAGGTGAGCGCGGGTTCAGAAGTGGGATGAAGTTTATGGCGCCAGAGGACAGAGAGTCTGGCTAATGAACAAAAATTGAGAGCTGAGTCTGTAAAAAAGTCCCTGATAAATGGAAGATCCAACTTCTGCTTTCAGAAACTCTAGGACTATTCAAATACTTTTTCATGTGGGACAAAGTTGTTGAGTTAAAAGTACTCTCAGGATAATAAACTCCCCCTAACTTTAAGCAAATAAGTCCTTTTGTGTTGTAGTAAAGTGATATTATTTGTTGTAAAGTGATATTATTTGTTGTGCACCCAAAACTTACCTTAAAAATGTCCCAAAAGACACCCAGACGGTTTTAGGTTGATGTTTTCTGACATGTTTCAAAAACAGGCTGTCATCTAGCAACCCTTTTTAAAAAAAAAAAAACAAACAACATTAACAAATATCGCACTGTTAAAATAAAGAACAACCACAGACATTGACAACGTCGGTGATGACGTCTTGCAATCTTCCAGAAATAAAGTAAAAAAAAAAAAAAAATTAAATATATACATAAATTGGTCAAATTTCTGTTTTTCTCTATATTATTTTCTTAACAAAAAAAGTGTCAAAATTACATTCAGCATTTAGTTTCATTAAAATTATTTTGGGTCAATTGAACAAGATTTGGGTCTAACTTCCTATATTAGAGTAGAATTGATCTGGATTCAGCAAACAGTTTCTGGATATATGTAATTCTACCTATTATAAAAACTTGATTATGAAAAAACTAATATTTTGTGTTGTACTTAACATTCTCCCTTATAATAAAATTGTTAGTAATAATTTTAGCCTGATTCCCAATAAAAAAAATCTCCATCTGCCTGCATTGATGGCCGCACAAAATCAGTGTTAGTGCCACAAAGGCCCCCTGCGCCGCATTTTGGACACCCCAACTCTGGGAAGCAAAACTTCTGTTCATAACTGGCATTTAACAATAGAGAGATGGATGTGTTTAGTGTGATTTTAAGCCTGCCTGTAGGATTTTACACAGTTTAACAAAAGGCCAAAGAACACAATCAGCTAATATATTAAATAGTTTGTGTCTTTGTCTGTTACATTATGTATCTGGATGCACATACAAAAGAATAAACACTACAACTGAGATTTGACTGAGGAAAAATGAAGGCCAGATAAAGATCACCGGCTGCAGGAATAGCCACGGTCTCCAGCTTGGTATGTTATTGTTACATTGACAAAAGACACAGCGTTGCTCTAAACCGCAGCCAAGAACGAAGCAAACACAGAATCAATCACTGGAACAAGGAAACAATTGCTTCAGACTTGGCTCTGGGGTTATTGATGAGCAGCAGAAATGTCTCGACAGCTTGAATGATGCATGGCACACAGCATAAAACTCCATGTAAAGCAAACTTGCTTTCACTTTCAAATGTGATGGAGCAGCAAATATTTCCAGAAAAGACCCACACAACATGGAGGGAGGTTTTTCTGCGCCCAGATGAATATGATGTTCATGTTTTAAAGCTTGAATCTGGCTGAGTGAAATGTAAATGTCAAATAGTTTAATTCCTCTGAGTAAGATAAACATCTGTTATTACGCTGATGATAGTTAACTATTAAAAGAGAATATCTGTAAATGGCACTTTTAGCCTTTAGCATTTATTTCAGACATGAGAAAAACAACAGAAATAAATGATCAAAAAGCTTGAATATTGCTATTACTATAATTTGGTGTTGGAGTTCTCCTAATATTATGATTTCATCAGGACTTTATTGTTGTATTACTTTGACTTTGTCATTTGACTTTATTCTTTTGACATTATGTCTTTATTTTCCTGAAAACAAAACAGAGTAAAATTATTTTAGCCAAACCCAAAGTGCAAATATTCAAAGTGTAAATAAATAGAAGCAGCAAAACGACCTTCCTAAACAAAATGGCGGCACCGACTGTGATGACATCATTAATATATGGAAATCCAATGAGTGCATTGTTGCAAAAACAAATTCAGATTTTCAAAAAATTACACATTCAGAAAGCAGAAATTTGATTTATTGATAAAATAGATTTATTGACAAGCCTGGAGAGAAGATAAGGAGGGTCTTCATACACTGCAAAAACACAAAATTATCTAATTTTTTCTAGTTTCTAGTGCACTTGAAATATGATTAAACTAAATTATTAAAAACCTTTCAGCAAGATATAAACAATAATTCCTTAATATTAATAAAATATTGATATTTCATTAATATTTCACCTACTATCTTTACTAGCAAATGATTTTACTTATAGGAAAAATGTCTTGTTATAATGAAGTAATCTGCCAATGAAACTAGTAATTTAATCAGTATTAAGGAATTACTGTTTATATCTTACTAAGTCACTTTTGTTTCATTTCAACTGTACTAAGATCAATTATTTGGCTGTGTTTTTGCTTTCTAACCCGTCAGGATGCTTGTTAAGAGCTTTAAATGTCTGTTCTGCATGCAGGCCCTGCTTTCCGTTTGCTGTGTTTGTGCTTCTGCTGGAGCGCCATGTACGTTCCCTTGGCCCCCCGTCACTGAGCAGTGTGTTTGCTCCCAGGTACTCCTTCCAGGACGAGGAGGACATGTTCATGGTGGTCGACCTCCTTCTCGGAGGAGACCTGCGCTACCACCTGCAGCAGAACGTCCAGTTCGGCGAAGACGCCGTCAAGCTGTACCTGTGTGAGATGACTCTGGCCCTAGACTACCTGCAGAACCAGCATATCATCCACAGGTGCAGACTCATATTTTTCTGTGGTTTTGGTTTTCTTCAGGATTTCTGTTGCTTGAAAAGGCATGGTTTCTATTAGCAGTTGCATTTTAAAGACTCTGTTTTAGCTTATTTTTGCAGTTTTTGTTGCCTTACGTAACAAAAAATTGGAAAACTGGCATATAAATGAGCAACATTAATTTAAAGCGAACGTTGTAACTTATCCATGCATCTGTCTGACAACAGCAAGAAGAGTGTTACATCTTTTATTTTCAGGGTATGCACTATGGCTGCAACTAACAATTAATCTATTATAATGACGATTAATCGATTAATCAAATTTTGAAAATGGCACATTCTGCATGTGCCATTATTCAACCAACTAAGACTTTATACACAATACAAAGTACATTAAAAGGTGCAAATAAGCAAATAATTTAAATATTTTTTAAAATAAGAAAACAAAAATTGTATTACTAAAAGATATTGTCAGCTAATAGATTAATTATTTTTTGTATTAATAATTGGACAACAAATGGAGACATTCTTACAAACTTTGACCCAGGGGAAGCTAAAAATGAAACTTGATCAGTTCTGAATAGAAGATATTTGCAAACAAAGAAGTTTTTTCTCATATTAAATAAGAAATGCATGTATTTAATTACTGCTTTGAGTGCTATTTATAGTCTGTAAACTCCAGTTAACGATTAATCAGTTACTAAACCAATTAACTTTTATTCCAACAATCGATTAATCACAATTACATTGATTAATCGTTTTGGTTTTCACCTAATATCCTCAGTATTTACAAATAGAAGTGTCCAATTATAACATAAAACTAAGTTAAGTTGTAAAGTCATTTCAAATGAGCAGAAACTGCAGAAATACCTCAAAAGATACAGTCAAGGTTACATCTGGCAGCTTTAGCATTCAAGAGGCTTTGTGTCATTGTATTCAGCATCAGCAGCTTGCATTAACATGATTAATGTTCCACTTTGCTTTGCTCCTCCATCTTCAGCTGAAATAAGATGGACTACATTTTAAAACTGAGTGCAGATGGAGTAAAATCTGCTCTTCCTGTAGTTAGTTTATCTGAACCATGAAGTCACCTCTCCTGTCTGAGCCAGGCTGCAGACTTTTTTTATGACAGAAACATGATTTGGATGTTCGCATCTTCATCCAGTCTGAGTTCACATTTAAAAAGCGGCAGCAAAAGCAAAGGAGGTGGATTAGCAGTGCCAGCCAACAATTGATTGTATCATTCAAACATGATTCTGTGAAATATTCTCTCTGCTGTCTGAAAATTGAACTGTTAGCGTCTAAAGGGGGGAATGAAACTGTCAAACAACAACAGTCTTCAGTCAGAGGCCTCTCCAGATTTGTTGCAAGACTGACTGCTACTGCTAATCCCTCCTTTATTTGTCTTCAGTCATATTCATATTCATATTCAAAAGAACATTTTTCCAGAAGATCTAAGTAACTCTTCCTTTAAAAAAAATAAATAAAATAAATCATTTAAAACCAACTTTAAAAACTATGTAAAATTTTCTTTTTTCTTTCTTTTTTTTTACCCATTTTGAAAATCTGAATGGGAATATTATGTTTCTATCATGTGTTAGTAAAATCAAAGTTGAAGTACAGTGAAAAAGTATCAGACAGATTACATTCAGATAGTTGTGGGAAAGTGTTTCCATAATAAAGAGCACAGAGAAGAGAAACAGATTATATTGAAGCTTTTCACAATATAAAATCATATTTAGATACTGAATGAGTTTCTCTGATTGGTCATGTGGATTTTGGGCCGACTGTGGGGTTCTACTTTCCTAAATGAATAATTCTTTTGTGTAAATGTGGCCATGTATCATCTTTAATAAGTTCAGCCTCCACTATGGAGTTTATTCTGCAGAGAAATGCTGAGTGCAGTAATACAACCGGAGCGTCTGCAGTTTGGTGAGCGAAAGAGCCGAGAGCCCAGCAGACTGCTGACTTAGTGCCACAGGTGGCTGTTTGAATGCTATTCCAAACCTCGTCTGGGCCACATTTTTACCTTCAAACAACTTGGTGTGTGTGTGTGTGTGTGTGTGTGTGTGTGTGTGTGTGTGTACCTGCATTATTAATGTTGTGAGGAGTTTCGGTTCTATTTCCTCTGAAGTGATGGGGAGAGATCTGTGTGTGTGTTTCTCCTCGATCTGTCTTACAAGCAGGCTTTGGTTCTCTTGTTAATAACAGAGGATGAAACGATGCTGGTCTGCAGAAAACTATTCTGGTGAAATACGTACGTGAAGGTTTGTTTTATGAAGAAAGATAAGATGCAAATACAATACAAATTAGGCTAAATTCCATAAAGTGCAGAACAAATCTGCTGTTCCTGTTATCAAAATAGAAAAGCCTCTCAGATTCCCTACTTCCCCGACCCTCCACTGCATTTGAAAACTCTAGAAAGTGTCATATATTGTGGTGGTGGAGGTGGTGAGGCAGACGCTAGAGACCCAGGTAAGTTGAATGATGAAATATTTAATGAAAACAGCCCACAAAAACACGTCAACAATGTAGTCCGCGGCCAGGCAGCACGGCTGAGCGGAAGCCAGGGCTCAACGCCGGTAGCAACTGGTCATACAGGCGGCTAAACAACACACAATGGCAGACAAAGGCAAAAGTGCGACTAGGACCCAACGAGGAACAAAGGACACAGGAGGGACTAAATACACTGAGGGTAATCAAGGGAACAAGACACACCTGGGAACAATCAAGGGGACGACAGGACAACGAGGAGACTAGGACACAGAGAACTCAGAATAAAACACAGAACCTGACAGAAAGTTACATTTTGAGTAATATTTTGTGTCAAATATCACTATAAATTTATGATTGACATTTTTTTACTGAAAACATTAAGAAACATCTGAGTCGCTCCACACATAAGACATGATCACATAAAGGAAACCCATGACACAAAATTCACATTTTGTGTATTTTTTTAGCTGAAAATAATTTTTCAGTAAGATTAATAACTTGCTGAACATTATTTTACCTTGATTTTGTCTTATTTCAAGTTTAGGTAAAGGTAATTTTATTGATATTGCACATGTTCAGCAACGAAGCAATACAAAGTGCTCTTAATAAGATTTTAGAAACTATACAAAAATATTTAGTAAAATGTTGTTTTTGCAGTGTATGAGAAGTTTACTGAAAACACAAACTCATAGAGCATGTTGAATAGTTTTGGTCTAGTTTATTGTACAAATATCTTAGTATACTTGAAATAAGACAAAACTAACTTTTAATTTCTTAATATCGGTTTTTAAAAAGTACTGGTTCCACTGGCAGGTTATTTAACTAGCATTTTAATCAATATTAAGAAATTATTGAGTTAAAACAAGCCCCTTTGTCCTTATAAGGTAATCTTTTTGTTATTTCAAGTGTGCTAATACTCTTGTTTTTTGCAGTGTTCACATGATGTGCAGGAATCAGGTCTCACATCGGTTTCACTGTAAAGCGTAGAATCAATGGCTGCTCTGTGGGATTTCTCCTTGTTTCCTTCTCCTTTTCATGACTCAAGAGGGAGTTCTTCCAGTGCCGCTTTTAATGGCTTGTCGAGCCGTCAGCGTGGAACAGACGAGCTTTTCACATGTCGAGTGGGTTTCGCTCCTCAACACATCCATTGACTCCTTTTTTTTTTCTTCAATCTGCCTCCTGCTTTCAGTCTCACATTTCCTCGTCTGCAACTGATTCCTGGGGAGGTGGGATGTTTGTTTACCTGAAACCAGGATTTTATGTGCAGAAAGAGGTGAAATAGTCTTAATAGCAACTGCTACCCATTCTTTACAATCAGATCCTCCAGATTCCAACTTTAGATATACAGACCCAGAACTAAACCCCTTTTCTGTAACTCAGGCTCAGGAGCTGCCGCCTCTTAACACGTGATTGAATGCACCCCTGCCGATGTGTATCTGCAGCTATTTTTAGGTGCTCAGACAGAGGTATATGCTGTAAAAATATACCCACCCCCGCAGCGCCCAGCAGTCGGTTATCATCTAATAGGCGGCGCTCTGCATCCAGCTTCATATCCACGTAAATGTGGGAAACATCCCACTCCTTCCAAGTATCCTCTGTGTTCCTGTTTGCTTTTCTTGTCGCTGATTTCTCATTCAGAAAGTGTTAATATGATAAGTGAGCGACGCTTTGATGTTTACAAGCCTGTCTCTGCTGGATGGAAGCCTTAATCCCATTGCCTGGGATCCGTGGCCTGTGCGGCTCCAGCGTTTTACTTTCCAGTAGGATACAGTACAAGTTTTTTTTTCTGTTTTTTGCACCAACTTAATGAAGAAGGGTCTCTGGTCTCCTAGCAACAGTGAGCTGTCACCGCGCCCACGGAGGTAAAATTCGTCTTATTAGGGGAAGGGAGGAACCGGAGAAGTCCTCGAGTCTCTTTTTCCTCGCATTTCACTGATTTCAATATATGTTTATTTATATATTTGGTTAAAACTGTCAACATGTCATATAAAACGGAAAATCTGAGAAAAAAATCGATCTCTTCCACCTCCTGCTTGAACTTTCACTGCCATCTGAAGACACGCGCCCGACCAAAAACAACCAATCAGAGCCAGGAGGAGGGTCTTAGCGCCGCCAATCATCCTCGTGTATGGACTGCTAAATGTACTAATAGCGGAGGAACAACTTACTGTTCCATCTGTCGTCCTCCTAACTAGCTTTAGCATTCATGGCAGGCTTTTATAGCTGCAGCATATAGCAGAAAATTATTAAAAGAGTTAAGTCCCGCCTCCTGGCTCTGATTGGTTGTTTCTAGTTAGCTCATGCCAACCCCCACAAGATGCCAGTCTGGGCGGTTGCCCATGTTGCCCATATCAGAAACCGCCACTTAATCAAGGTCGACTCTAAGTAAGTGGGTTTTAGTCTCTATTTGAAGGGACTCAGTGTTTCGGCTGCTCTGCAGTTTTCTGCTCCAGATTTGTGGTGCATAGAAGCTGAATGCTGCTTCTCCATGTTTGGTTCTGGTTCTGGTGCAAAAGCAGACCAGAACCAGACGACCTGAGTGGTCTGGAAGGTTGCTATGACAACGGCAGATCGTTGATGTGATGTGGGTCAGCGATTAATAAACTCAATAAAGTATTTTAGAGTCAATTCTCTGAGCTACAGGGAACCGGTGGAAGGATTTGTGCAGTTAATCTACGTAGAAGTCTGACTTTTAAATTAAAAACTGAATATGTGATGAAACCCGAACGTATTAAGATCCAGCAGTATGTCGGATGAGTCTCCGCTCCTCCTCCTCTTCCTCCTCCTCCTCTTTCTCCTCCTCTTCCTCTCTCCTTCAAGGCTTTTGCTTCAACATCTTTGTCAGACGCTCTCTGGAAGCTGCCTGTGTTTCTGTGCTGCAGTGTGACGTGAACCGTGATTAAACACAAAAAGCGTGCTCACTCTGGAGCGCCTGGCTAAAGTCATGTGTTTAGCGCACGCAGCCCCTCTGTAACTCTCTTGCTTTGAGGGAACCAGCAGATATTGTTGCACCTAAAGTCCCTCCGGCAGCGTTCAAAATCAAAGAATCTCCTCCCTCTTTTGCTCTTACTGACACAATATTGCACCAACACGTAATTCACACATGCACCAGCCTCCAACACACCTCCTACAGACTTTCACATCTACACATACTGTATATATCTAATCCCAGGCTTTCCCACATGTGATGACATCTTGCAGCATGGTTTCAGAATGTGTTCGCTGCAGAGCAGACCAAACATGTTTAGTTAATGTAATGAGCATGAAACCCAACCTTTTCTGCTCTGGTTGTACTTTAAAGAGGCTGTAAGAGCTGCTAAACTTCATTTAACTGTGTCTTAATGTTAAGGTGATGTGTTTTGTGTTTCTTCTGTTTTTTTTCTTTCAGAGATGTAAAGCCGGACAATATCCTTTTAGATGAACAAGGTAAGAAAACGACTAATTCAATTTGTGTAAACAATCATTTTTAACTTCAAAGTTTGCAACAATTCCCATTTAAAACATTGCAATCACTCACTAATATTCCTTCTCTGCGAGAATTAAAAATGTTTTTTATTGAAAAATATTCTAACATCCACTATAAACTATTTTATGAACATGAAGCTATTTCCTTTTGCATGTTTTAGACAAAAGGTTTCCAAAGTGTGGTTCAGGGGCCATTTGTGAACCTCAAACAGAATTCAAGGACGGCCTAACTTTAAAAGTAATAAATTGCACATAACTGATCATCATCAATGTGATCATCTAAATAAATGGTATTTGATAAAATTGTAACACAAACATCTGCATGCCAAAGTATTCTATAGTCAAATAAGACCTTCATTTAACCGGAACCGGGTCAAATTGGGTCAAACACAGCACCAAATGTGTAGCATATTGCCTGAGAAAGCAAATAGTCAAGGTGTTGTAGTGGTCTAGTCAAAGCCTTGATCAAGACAAGGCTGCAGAGCGTTTTTGCTGCTTCAGTTTTCACTTTGCTTTCATTGAGAAATGAACTAAGCAAAACTTAGGGGTTCAATTTTGTGCATCTTTTTTGCAAAAACTTCTATTTTGTTGTAGATAAATTCACCATTAAACATCACTGAGCTATTTCTGTGAAAACTGAGAAACCTTGATCTTATAGCAGCAAGTGACCCTGAGTTGTCTGTTTGCTTCTTTTATATTTCCATGTATTAGAAGAGGCATTAAACTCAAGCACAAGCTGTTACTTTACTTTTGCATTCAATGCCTCTTTTATTCTTTTACGTAATCCAGTCCTTTGGTGTTTAATCCATAGGACACATATTCAGAAAAATCCATCATTACTTTAACAGATGTGCTTCTTACTGATGAGTCACAACAGTAAAGATACAAAAAAGTCTGTAAGATTTAACTGAAGCCCAAAGTAATGAGTTCACACTGATCCGGTTGCCGAAACATCACTTTTTATTTATTTTGTTTACATTCTGGAGAAACAGTGAAATAAAAAAAAAACTGATTTTTGGTGCAGAATATTTCCGAATCAGCTTCTCCCAGTTTGTGCACATAAACAAACTTTACTCTCAAGATTTTAAATATAAAATAGTGATGGCGTCTGTAATCAGTGAATCAAAATCAACACATTAAAGTCCCTGCATTAACATAAAGTAAACATATAAATGATGTTGTCCTCTGTTTCGTTTCTCAGGTCACGCTCACCTGACAGATTTCAACATAGCAACCATAATAAAGGATGGAGAAAGAGCCACAGCGCTGGCTGGAACCAAGCCCTACATGGGTAACATTGATCCGCCATTGTGTCCTTTAAATAGCTGCTCCTTCTCTGCAGCAGCAGCTGTGCTCTGAGAAAAGAGTCGCCTTTATAAGCCACGGACAGGAAAGCTGGCTTAATGCCACTTTGAACACAGATTGAGGTTTGTTTCTAAAAATGATGCATCCTGGATCAAACAAGTCTTTAAATGAACTCATTGGCATCTAACCATGCGGATTTCATCATTTCTTTTCCTGGCAGTTTTTAATGAACTGCTACTGAAGTCGATTTTTATCATGTTAAAAATCGACTTCGACTTCCAAAAACATGCAGAAAAAAGTCTAAAAATGTTCATGTGTCAAACGTGTCACTGCCCAGTCGCCCAAGTCGCCACCGATGGCTGTAGATTCTTTGATGAAGGTACAAAAGGAAGTAAAGGCTGTTTGTTCTACATTTGTGTGATTGTTTTTCTGCGCCAGACTCGATTCTTTTGCTTTTCTTTCAGCTCCAGAGATCTTCCAGTCGTTTGTCAGCGGAGGTACAGGCTACGCTTTTGAAGTCGACTGGTGGTCCTTGGGGGTGACGGCCTTTGAGGTGCTGCGTGGATGGGTGAGGCTCTTTGAGTTTCAGCTTGGCAGAGACTGAACAAGCGTTGAAGGTTCTGAAGGCTTTGTTCTGTTCTTTCTGTTCGTTTTATTTGATTTATTTGTTCTGTTTGTTTTGTTCATTCTGTTTGTTTTGTCCATTCTGATTGTTCTTTTTTCTGTTGGTTCTGTTGGTTCTGAACCCAGCGGCCGTACGATATCCACGCCAGCAACTCTGTGGAGTCTCTGATCCAGCTCTTCAGCACGGTGAGCGTCCAGTACAGCCCGGCCTGGCCCAAAGACCTGGTGGCACTACTGAGGAAAGTGAGTTACACAGAGCATCCATCCATCCATCCATCCATCCATCCATCCATCCATCCATCCATCCATCCATCCATCCATCCATCCATCCATCCATCCATCCATCCACCAGCAGTCTGGAAGTATTTCAATATGTCAGGTTTACCTCAGGCTTGTATTTCAGGTAATTTGGTGGTTTGGATTGGCAATGTGTTTGGACACAATGTCAATAGACTCCCAATCTAAACTCTACTGGGAACGTTGTATTCAGCAAATGGAGAATGGTATTAATTAAACTCTCACCTATCGCTGTAATCCCACAGCATCGTCATAAACCTTCACCAGTTCAGCTAAACATGAACTGGATAATCCCAAATCCCTTCTCTCCATCAACAACTGGAAGAAAACCAAGGGCTTTGCCTGAATCAGCTTCTTTTCCAATTTTTTCTTAAAAAACAAAAATGGCATCACAAAATCATTCTGGAAACTACATTTTATGAGTACTCTGCGTACGGCTCTCTTCAATCTGACTCTAAACAAATTCAACTAATTCTTTTAAACATAAAAGATTTGATTCACGACCTAAAGCTGTTTTGTACATTTTGGCCTCGGGAAAAGAAGCATTTGCCAAATTAAAGCAGCATAACAAGATTTTTTGCACAACCATAATTTGAGAAGCTGTGATAATATTAATCACTTTATTAATATTGGATTATTTTGAAAAGTAAAAATTCTGGAACATTTTTAGCATGTTATCGATTTGGGTATAAAAAGGAAACAGCTTTTCTCACACTAAGTTTAGCAGAGTTCACAGTTACATGGAAATGTCAGTGGAGATTTCATCATCTTATTTTTAGTCAGCGCTGACCTTTTGTCTTCTCAGAGAAAAACTAGCAAACACCCCCTGCAGCGCGGCGCATTATCTGTCAGTAATTAACCTTGAATCTTTGGGTTTGATGTTGTGCAGTTGAGCTTTCTCTGCATCGCTGACGTTACAGAAACCTCACAACTTCCCAACCTCAAGGGACTCAGTGTTATCTCTAAAATAATAATAATATCTCTAAAATGTAATGAGCGAAGGATCTTCGCTCTACCTAACTGCGCTACTTATAAAAGAGGGAATCAATTAAAGTATTACGGAGTGCTAGTCGAATTCATCCTCAGAAAGACGATGAGTGCGGACTTGAGGTGATGCACTGAGATGGAAAGTGAGTCAAGAGGGAGGAGAGGATTTGTGTTGAGAGAGGGAACATCGCTGGAGGGAAACAGGAAGAGTCGAGACCTCCAGGGCATCCAACGAAAAAAGCGACAGATGGGAAGAGAAACATGCATGAGAGGAAAAGTCACCTCCTTCCTCTTCTGTAAACATCTATGTGTTAATAATCAGCACACCAAGGAATATAATTAGCTGAACATTAACACTTGAAAACAGGGTGGCCTCAAATGTCTTAAATTGTTTTAACTAAAATTGAGGCATTGAGATGTCTTAAATTCATTTTTAAAAAATTAATTTGCCTTAAATGTTGTGACACGACTATTTAATCTCCTATATTCTGTGTAACTTTTTGTTGCTGTTTTCCCTTGCGGTGCTTTTCTGTCAGGAGAGAGTTTGAGTTTATTTAGTTCAATATACTTTATATAGAACAAATAAATTTACACACTAAGATCTTCAACACAAGTAAAATTAGATTATAGTAAAGAAGAAATAATGAACAGTGGAATAATGTCATGTCATGTCATATATTAAAGATAAGCTTTTGTTTTCGTGTTACTCAGATGTCTTTTTGTTTCTTCAAAAATAAAAATAATAAAAAATATATACATTTATAAATAAAGGTCTTAAATTTACAACAGAGCATGAGGTCCATAAAATAAAACAATATAATATTACAATGATAAAGTTGTAGTATTATGACAATAAAGTTGAATTAATACGTGAATGAAGTTCCAATTTTATGACTATTCTCAAAATATTCTGACTTTATTCTAGTATTTTTTATATTTTACTCTCTGATTACAACTTTATCCAAGTGATATTATGACTATTTATAATTTTATTATTATTTAACTTTCTTAGCATGACCCTGATGCTTTGTTGTATAAATTTAATTCATAAGGGTTTAAAAGATCTTAAATTTGAGTTGGTGAAAACCTGCAGAAACCCTGGAAAGGGTATAATAACAACAGTAAATTGTTCACTTAGAGTCTAAAAGAAACAGATGATCTGGAATCCTGCAGATGTTTATCAGCCTTTAATAAAAGACTTCCAGTAAACATAGGAAATAAATTCCAGAGGACGTTTTACAGCGCGAGCTTCAGTGCGTCCGTGCGCTGACTGTCTGGGCGACGAAGGGCTCTGGACGGAGAGATGGTCTCTTCCGCTCGGCTGCTGATCGATTACCGTGTCTGGATTCCACCCAGATAGACCTAACCGGCCCTGCAGGAGAACAAGTGAATCATCCTGCGACCGAAGGAAGAAAATAAAGCACAGGAAGAGAGTTAACATGACAACCAAAGCCACTTCCCATTATCACTTCCTGCGTTTAGCCCCAGGTGAAGGATGAAACACGATGCATGCTATTAAAATACAAACAGCATATTTGTTGGTTTTTAGGCTCTCTGGAAAAAAAGCAGCTTTGCTTTCATATGACAACACTGCAGCAGTTTTCCTTCAGAGAGCATCAAACGTTTTCTGATGGAAATTTGAAGGTTTGATCTGGAAATTACATCATATTCAAGATAATAAATCAGTTTCCTGCAGTGATATGAGCACAGGAACCATTAACCCATAGTTGCACCAACTTTTTATTTTACCTTCAGTTTTAATAATTAATTCAAAATTAATTTTCTTCAGTCGCAGTTTTAATCTGCTAAACCAGTCTGTGGCTCTCTTCATATGTTAAACAGTTTCATTTTGTGTTTTTTTTTTGTTTGTTTTGTTCTTTCTCTCACAAAATATTGTAGGTAGAACTGAAAAGATGTGTTTGCAAATCAGAAATTAATCAGTTTAAAGGGAAATTATTCCAAAAAATAAGTAAAAATGTGCAAACCTGTAATTTAAAGACACATTCTTGTTGTCAATTAGGAAATAAAAAATATTTTTATTTTATTAAAACAAAAAATAGCTGGTGTAATGTAGGACTGAAATCGTGACTAATCAATTATTGAAATAATCATTAACTAATTTAGTTATCGCTTAATCATTAACTGGAGCACAAAGACTCAAAAAAAAGGTAATTTTGTTGAAAGAACAACACAATCAAAGCCAAAACTGATTGTGTTTTGGCTCTGATTGTATATAAATATTACATAATATTGTATAAAAAGGGTTCAGTAGTTGAATGAAAAAACTGCAGAATATAGAAGTATCAGATTAATCATCAGAATAATTGATAGAATAATCAATTATTGAAATAATTGTTTCTGAATATGGATCACTGACGTCAAAAAAGTAAAAAAAAAAAGGAACTTTGAGCAAATATTTCCAGGAGTTAATCAATATTTAGCTCATAAATACCAAAGTTACCTGTTTTTATAGAGGTAATCAGGGAAGCCATAAAGATTTAGAAACAAACCGTTTCAGTTCACATCTTTTCTTTCTTTTTCCATTTTATTTCACACCTGCAAAGTATTTCACCACTCAGAATGAAGCGTCTGGCTGTGATTTGGAGAGAAGTTGTGAAGGTGATATTTGAACTGGCAAGGTGATGTTAGTGACAGTGTGTGTGTGTGTGTGTGTGTGTGTGTGTGTGTGTGTGTGTGTGTGTGTGTGTGTGTGTGTGTGTGTGTGTGTGTGTGTGTGTGTGTGTGTGTGTGTGTGTGTGTGTTCTTTCCAGCTGCTGACTGTGAACCCAGAGCATCGGTTTTCCAGTCTGTCTGATATGCAGACGTCTCCATACCTCGCCGCCGTCAACTGGGACGCTGTGTATGAGAAGAAGATGGAACCTGGATTTGTTCCTAATGTATGAAATGTTTTGAAATAATCTATATTTTTATCACAGAGTCTCAAATTCATGTATCTAAAATTAAAGGTGACCTATTATGCGTCCGTGAATATGTTCATTACAAAATTAGTTTTAGAAAATGAGATTTTAGTCTGGTCCTTTCTGTTGGAATGAGACGTTTTAGGGCCTCTTGAAAAGCAAAAGTAGAGCCTCCTGCAAAACCAACAAGAAACCAGGAAATGGTTTCTTTATTGTACGTCAACAACAAAAGACTCGTCTTTTCCAGCAGATATTGTTCAGTGATAAAATAGCTGACCAAACATCCTGGAGTTTTGCTTGGATTGCTAAGAGACGGGTTCGGCTTGCTAGGTGAAAGGCAGTGCCTGCCGATTTGTGACTTTACATTTGAAGGCTTTTGGAACAACTTTTCTCCCCCAGACACTAAAAAACATTAATTTATTGCTAAAAAAAAAAGTTTTGTTGTTTTTTTTTTTAAACAAAAGAAAAAAGTTTTAAAAGCAGCAGGGAAAATACACTGAAAAAACACAAAAATCTTACCCAGAACCTTTGTCCAGTTTCTCATGCAAATATATCTTAGTTCACTTAAAGTACAACAACACAAACATAAAAGTAACTTCTCATCACTGGCAGGTTATTTCACTTATAACATGAGAAAAATGACTCAAAATTAAGGAATTATTCATTTAAAACAAACTTCTATATCTTGCTGAAAAGTTACCTGTAAGTTGGCTTTGTTTTATTTCAAGTGCACTGAGATGTTGTCACAAGAAACTGGACCAAAATTACTTGCTGAGATTTTGTGCTTTTGCAGTGTATTAGCAAAAGTGTAAAAATGTTGATAATGTGTCATTTGCACAAAGAATTTTTCTGCGGTGTATGTAAGTTAGCTTGAAATATGTTAATCCCACGTCTTAAATTTTGCCAGGAAAATTTGAGTCACATGCAAACTTTTGCATCAGCTAGCTGCTATTAAGGCTTTGCTAGATGGCTAACTGGCTTTTTTTTTTTTTGGTAATTGCCTTCTGCCGCCTGCAGCTCCTCCTGGTGTCTCTCTAATGATGTGGCGTTCGTCTCCCTCCCACAGAAAGGTCGGCTCCACTGCGACCCCACCTTTGAGCTGGAGGAGATGATCCTGGAGTCGCGACCCCTCCACAAGAAGAAGAAGAGGCTGGCGAAGAACCGCTCTCGAGACAACAGCAAGGATTCGCAGTCTGTGAGTCAGTCAGTCAGTCCTGCACACACAAAACCGTAGAAAACGACGGCAATGAAATATCACAGACAAGTCTTTGCAAATTTTAACTCAGACATTTCTGATGAGAATTTAAAATTATAAAAGTTGTGAGCGAATGGCTTGTTTCTACTCCAGATATTTTCACTTATGTGTTGCCAAAGCCTGGTAACTGAGAAAAAGAGATCACATTAAAAACTAATATGGCTGAAATGGAGCTAATTTTGTACAATCTAATTATAAAGTCCAATTTGAATAAGGTCCAGCAATATACTTTTAATGTTCTTTTTATCCAAATTACAAAACAATCAGATCCTTTGAAAATATTAATGTTTTTCATGCATCACTGCAGTCTGGTGTCTCTATTTACTCCTGTTTTTATTTAAAACATGTTTCAACTGCATTCAGAAAATAAGAGAGAAAGCAACAAGGAAACAAATTTACTGTTAGCAACACATTTTCTAGAATAGAGAGTAGAACTATATATTTAATTAGAGATGCACCGATCTGATATTAATATCAGTATCGGTCCGGATATTGATAAAAGTTTAAGTATCGGTGACAATACGTCCGATTCATAACGCCAGATCAATTTGGTTCAATTCTATACTTTGAAAGTTTGCTTCAGTTTATTTTTTATAAGTTTTCTACCTATTGTTTTTGTCAGTTCCCGTTACTCTATTAGTTATTTTACACTCCTAATTAAAGTTGTTTTTACATGTTTGACCAAATTTGTGAAATAAATCAAAGCAGTTTTTATCTACTTTCTGCCAGATCAGTTAGTCCCTCCAGTTTCTTGCAAATGTTTGCGGAAATTCACGCAAAATTACCAAATTCCTGCACTTTTTTTTTGCGCTAAAGCATAATTATGAGTTTATTGCAGATTTTTGGGGGTTAAGTTATGCTACCTTTTTTACTTGTACCAAACAGCTGTAATTTATGTCAAATTATATCCAAATGATGAGGAATAATTTGCCGTCATTGCAAATGTTTGTAAATTAATCCCACAAACATTTGATTTTTATTGCAAATAATCACAAAACCTTGGAGGGACTGATCAGTGTTGTCACTGTGATTTAATTTTAAGAATTTAATAATGTTTTAAAAGTTTGCTTAGGGGTTTCATCAACACATCCAGGCACAACCGGCCCTTTAAGAGCGGCCATGATCTTGATTTGACCCAAAATGAAAATGAGCTTGACAGCGCTGGTCTGGTCTTTCATTAGTGGATGTTTGTAATGGTTTTTACCTCAAGAATAACTGCAGCTCGTTCTGTTATGTAGGAGGATTTGGGAGCTGCGAGGGTGAAGACAGGATTCAAGATGTTCCTGCATCTGTTGTCATTCCTTCTCATCTTAAAACAAATCCTACATTCTTAGCCTCTTGATGTCTTTTTACATTAGGAAACACTTTTTGTTGTTAAAACTGATCAGATTTTGTGTTTTGTTGCATATTTTGTTTGCCTAATTTCTCATTTTTAAATAACGTTTGTATGTAGGGGATCAATAAGTGCTGCAGGAGTCGTGCTGAAATGAATAGTATCCTCCAAGAGTCTGTGCTTGTCTGGGATAATAATAATGCAGCTCAGGTCTCCTGTAAGGCTCTTCCTGTCAAAACTGCATATTTTTAGTTTGGCGGAGAGCCAAGCTCCATTTTTTCCCCTCAGCTGATATGAATTGCTTCTATTCTCCGCTGTGCAAACAAAATTAATAAAAGAGCGCTCCAGTAGAGAGCATGAAGAGATACTTATTGTTGAAGTGCATAACCTGCTGACACCGTGCAGCTTTCTGCACGACTGACCCGCTTTTATTCTGGATTATACGTCCAATTTCAAAAGCAGCTTCGGTTCACTTTCACATCAGATGTCTTTACGAAACAGATAGATCCGCTTTGGTTCCGATTCACATCAAATCAATCTGATTATTGTCAGTAAAGAGGCACACTGTAAAAAAATATATTTTTATATTTGACAGTAATAAACAGTAAAATTATTAAAAACTGTTGATTTGATGCAAGATTGCCGTAGATAAATTAATTGGTGAAAACAACAATTTGTACATTATATATTTGTACACTAGTTTTATGGGGATTTTTTATGCTTATTTTAGAAAAAAAATCATTTTTTTTAATAAGATAAAATATTTTCTTTTTTAGTAAAACATTACTGTACGAGACAGATAATCTGTGAAAATAATCTGCATCTTCCCAGTGTAAAGCAAAACTTGTAATTTACAGTGAGTACAGTAAAAAGTATGGTAAAATATTGGCATAAATATGGTAAAATGTAAATTCATACTGTAAAATTCTGGCTGTATTTTTTTACCGTATTTGGTAAAATTCTGGCAAACGCAGCACCTGGTATTTCACCGTAAATTAGTGACTTTTTTTTTTACAGTGCAGTGCTAACTAAAAATAACCAATCAGAGCCAATAGGAGGGCCTTAATGATGTCAATCACTCTCCAAGTGGAACTGCTCATTCCCTTCTACCCAACTTGCTCTTGGCTTCGTTGCAGTTAGCGTAGCCAGTCATGAATGCTAAAGCTAGTTAGCATAGCCACCACTAACTGGAGATAAAGGGTTTTTCTGTAACAGTAAGTTGTTTCTCCTCCATTAGCACATGCAGCAGCAAGTACATGAACTTGATTGGCAGCTCTCAGACCGTCCTCCTGGCTCTGATTGGCTGTTTTTGGTAAATTATTTCAGACAGCATTAGTCGCTTCTGGAGGAGATTAATAATTTCGCAGATTATCGCATTTTTGCATCTTATTTCTCATAGCAAACTGTCACAACATGGAGACAGTTCCATATGTAAATATTTTTTATGAAAGTTACACTCATTATATCTTATTTATATACATTATTTGAACAGTTTCAGCTTATTTACTGGCCTGAATATGTTGTTCTTTCAGCAAATAACCATATTTAGAGTCTGTATAAATAAATAAATCAGATTTGACTCAATGCTCTTTTGTTTAACTGGCAAACTATAAATTAGAATAAATAAATACATTTTCATTCTGCTTAATTATTCTCCATAATGAACCTTATTATGATATTTAATTAAGCATTCTCAGGTGTTAACTTTTGTGTGCACGTTTCTCGTTTTCAGTTTAATTGCCCCATTAACCGTGAGCCAGAACTGTTTGAATCCGAATCCATTGTTGGACTGTTTTCTAAAAGATTAATCAGTTAATTGAAAAATTTTTCAGTTTATTATGCAACAATGGGAATAGCCGGCGCTGATGGCATTTACTCCTCTAACATTTAGCGATCATTATAAGATTATTGCTGTAAGATGTTCTCCTAATTAAAAGGATTACACTGGAATATTAAGTTCCAGATGGATAACAGTGACAAATCTCCACCGGAGCCTGAATTCAGGAGGATCTGTGGGTTTATTCTCTGCAACATGTTCATCCTACTGTAATGTTCTTCTAACCACAGACCAGAGGTTTCCTCTCTGTATCAAAAAACAAGCCTGTTCTCATCAAACAGCCCACATGACTGTGTTATTACCATCAGGGTGTGGTGGTTCACTTGTTATCAGGGCTGATCAGCATGTACAACAACAGCCTTATGGGAGTAGTTGTGTGTGTGTGCGCACTCATGCTGCATTATTACTAAGATTATTAAATTATGAAGCCTTTCCGTGCCGTTGTCATGGCCCCGGGTGCTTTTGGAAATATGAGGTTCTATTTTTGTCCCAAGCCAAACATCCAATCTGAGGACGGCTCTCCAACAATTCACGAGTCGTCCTAAAAGCAACCGAAACGCTGCGACATTAAGGGGAGCCGACCGATTCAGGCTTTTCTGAAACAACGGGGAAAGGTTAGCCAGCGTTGATTCATGAAGTTGAAGACTTTGTGTGCTCTGTGTGTTCGCCTGCAGGAGAACGACTACCTACAGGAGTGCCTTGAAGTGGTGCAGCAAGAGTTCATGATCTTCAACCGCGAGAAGTAAGAGGAAGGAAACACAGCTGGAAGTCAAAAACAGACATACAAAAAACTAAAAAAAAATGTTTTAAACAAATGCCATTTTTTTAAACTGTTATTTCTGAAAAGTTGAAAAGTTTTGACTTTTTTTTCAAGCAAATTCTCAAATTTTCAAACTCAGAAATTTCCTTGTTTCTAGAAAATTTGAGATTTTTAGTTAGCAGCATATGCTGCAGTAAATTTCAGTAGAAAAACATTTTTCCCACAAACTTTCAACTTTTTCAAGTTTCGTTCCTAAAATTTCTTCATTTTTTTTTCTTGCAAATTTTCAGATTTTCAGACTCAAAATTTCTGAGATTTTTTGCCAGCAGTCATTGCTAGAAAAAAGGAAGAGTAAACTTTTACCTAAAAACGTTTCTAGGAAAAATAAGATGATTGTAACAATTTTAGGAAAATATTCAAGTTTTTTTCTAAGACTTCTGAAATTAATCAACTATTTTCTGAGTTTTTTCTAGCAAATTTTCAACTTTTCAAAGTCAGAAACTTCCTTGTTTTTTTTCCAAAAATCTGAGATGAATCATTTGCTCTTCCTCTTTTTCTCTCTACTAAAAGCCGTAATGCGCCACAGTAGAATCTCGTGAACAATTTTTTTGACACGCTCCTATCTGCCAGCCAGCTTTGATTTAAAACTGTGCTGCAAAGCTTTCCTGCAGAAAATGCAGTTAATTATGAGTAAAAGTGGCATAAATTATTGTAAGGTATTCCTCTTTGCATGGTGCAGGGAAGGATATTGGTTCTGTGCTGCACTCAATTATTGCCTCATTTATTATTGACCAAGTCCTGCCACCGCAGTCCTGCTGAACTCCATCCCTGTGCAAGTGTCTTATTATATCCTATTGCTCTAATTAATGACAATCTACTGATATTTATAATGAATCTTGAATTATGCGCAGCAGTGAAGAGCCCTACACGGTCTAATTCAGTCAAGTCCTGTAATTACACTCCACTCTCATTACTGTGGTTTTGTTTTTTTGCTGCCACATGCAGCAGAGTGATTAGCTCCAGCAGAAACACTGATACCAGTTATTCCTTTTTCTACCTGTGAGGTTGAAAAGGCGCCAAGAGGAGGGCGGGGCCGACGACGCCGGCGCTGACCGGGACGACGAGGCGGAAACTGGGGTCGCCGAAGACAACGCGCAGGATCCGGACCCGGAGCCGGAGCCGGATCCGGATCCGGAGCCGGAGTCCTCCTCCAAACTGAGCATGTGCGGCTCTGTGTGCTCGTCCCCTGGCAGCTGCTAGCCCACACAGCGACGGATCTGTCTGTGCCGTGCCAATAGATCCCCCCTTCACCTCTCTCCTGTCGCCGAGGAAACGCACATGGATGAGAGGGCTGGGGGGCGAAATGACCCAAAATAGCTGCCCCGGTGTTCCGTCTCTTTTACTTTCTGTAGCATCTTTCTGGTAAGGCATGAATGAAGCAGATCCCCAGAGACTCTGTGCTCATAGAGTAAGCTCTAACTTCTATGCAATGTAACATTATAGCATGAAAAACAATGTCTTCACTCACTGGGAGGTGTTGATCGTAAACATGGTGACATCCTGAGCAACAGCGGCCCACAGCTGAAAGCTGCAGTATGTAATTTTATTTCAAATTAATCTGTTTTTGATATATTTGTTGAAACTGTCACCAGGTTGTAATATGAGAGATAATCTGTGAAAAAATTCATCTCCTCCACCTCTTCTTCGAGCTACTAATGGTGTCTGAAAAAAGGCACAAAAGCAACCAATCAGAGCCAGGAGGCGGGTCTTAACGCTGTGAATCAAGCTCATGTACTCGCTGCTAAATGTAAGACTGGTGGAGAAGCAACTTACCTTTACAGAAAAATCATTTATCAACTTTCACCAGTAGCTAAGCTAACTAGCCTGAGGATTCACTACAGTCTCTGCTAGCTGCAGTGCCACACACACGATTGTGATTGACAGCGCTAAGACCCGCCTCCTGCCTCTGATTGGTTGTTTCTAGTTTGCACCAGGGTTATGATAGTTTTTGGTTGAATTTTATTTTGTTTTGACCTTTTGTTTGTCCAACTGGGTTAGTCGTAAATAGTATTTAGAGTGTGTTTGCTATTTATTAGCTAAATATTAGTTTGAGCTTAATTTTTATTAGTTGTAAATTTTTGTCATTATCTGGTTAATTCAAAAAGATAAAAGTAATATATTGTGATTATGTTGACATTGATTATGCAGTGAATGTTTAACAGAAGATACAATTTTCAAGAAAATATACAAAATTATTAACTATTGTTATCATCATTTTGCAAAAATAACGTAATCTGCGGACAGCTGAAAAAGTTTGAAATTTTAATAAATAGGTTTATTAAGAAGAAAACAATATACAGTTTCAGTGTGTTTACATTAGCTTTACAAATGCTAGTTTGTTTAATTTTTCCTCATTAATTACCGTTTTTATTTATTTTAGTTAACGAAAAATGTTTTCTCAGTTTCAGTTTGTTATTTTGTTGCTATTATAATTTTGGTTAGCACTGGGAGAAAGCAGATTTTTCACAGATTAGCTGTGTCATAGTATACTGTCATGGCATGGTGATGGTTTCCACAAATATGTTAAAACAGAAGTTGGGTTGCTCGGTTTGGTCAAGGCTCCTCTGGTTCTTCTCTCCGTGCCAAATCCGATCGGGACGACTCAGAAGCCACCCGGTTTGTCGTCGTCTGTGTTTCCGCTTTGCTCTTCCCTCTCGGCCTCTCGTACCATCATGGTGGGGAGAGAGAGAGAGAACGCCTCCTTTTATTTTACTATTCAACAGCCTGACATGGGGGCGAATGTTTTCCAGCTCCCTTGCCTTAGAATAAATAACCTCAGATTGGAGGAAATTGCCTTAAAGCCCTTCACAGGTTGATGGAAGGACTACAAGATTATTGCTGATACTTTTCCATCTTGGCATTGTGTTAAAAAGCATCTAAAGAAACAAAATGGCTGCTGATTTTTCTGAAAATATACAGCAGCAATTTGGCTGTATTTAGTTTTCCACATACAACTCTTAATTTTTGGCCCTTTTTTAGGATTTGAGATGAGATTAAAATATAACAGTGGGGCCCGGTAAAGATAATACAAATTATGTCCTGATCCCTAAAATTAAAAGTGGGTGTTCTCTCTTTTTTTTACCACGATTATGTGTTTTTTGCAAAAACACAAAATCTTACCAAGCATTTTTTTTGTCTAGTTTTTTGTGAAAATATCTTGGGTTTGTGTTATTCCACGTGAACTAACTTTCAGTAAGATTTAGGAGCTTGTTTTAAATAAATTATTAATATTTATATTGATGAAAAAGTACTAGTTCAACTAGCAGATTGCTTCAGTAGCTTTGTGTACCTTGACCATATTAATTTGACACTGAAAAATACATTTGCTAAATGAAACACATCATTTTCGGAAAGAAAAACAAACTAAAACAGATTTTTAATAAAACATCTTGGTGCTAAAATGAAGTTTTCCAGCCATATCAAAATTGGTTTATTTTGCAAAAGTGGAATGTAAACATGTTTTTTCTGGTACAAACCATGAAGAAGAAGTTTTTTTATAACTCATTGCATTAACAAACTAATTTACATGTCATTTTAATTGAGTTTCTTATTTAACAGAAACATTAAATTGTGAAATTATTGTTTTTTGTGAGATTAGTGGAATATTGGCAACGTTTTGCAGACATTCATAATGTAAATGCAGTATGACAAGAAACTTATAACCTGTGTTATCAGTGAAATAATCTGGCAGAGGAACTAGAGCTGGGTTGTTAGGTGACGGTGCAAGTAGAACTTGCACTTTTTCATCAACATTAAGTTATAATTTCCTTAAAATAAGGTCTTAAATTTTCCTGAAAAATTACTTGTCAGATAGTTGTGTCTTATTCGAAATGCACTTAGATATTTGAACTATAAACTAGACCAAAACTATGAGAATATTTGGTGTTTTTGCAGTGCTAAGTTGCACTGGCTAAGGCTAAGGTGTTTGATTTCCAGTTGCAGGAGCTTCCTGAATCACAGTTTCCAGTAAGTGTTGGTTGGTTTCATGTTCTTAAACCTGTTTAAAGTTGTGCCTGTCTATGATAATCAGTATCTGTTAACCTTGTTGCACCCACAGATGCATTATAAGATATAAATCTGGTTTTTCCTCTCTAAGTGTGAACCAAGTTTGTTTGAAGCCTTTTTTTAAGATATTAAGGTAACTTAATTCATGGGAAATCAGTACTAATGACTGGAAAAAGGCCAGAATAAGCTCTAAGGATAGATTACAGCATTGTCAGCCTTTAAGAATCTATTTCAAAGCTGCTTTACTAGACATCATCCTGTTAAGTGCTCAGTTAGGACAAAGATCATCTCCCCATAGGGCTCAGTTTGGGGCCTAAACGTGTAGCTGTTGGTTCTTCAGACTGCATAGATGAGCTCTCACAGCGATGCTCGCTCATTTAAGGTGGTCGTGTAGCAAAGGACTACCTTAAATTACCCCCCTGGGCCTGATAATGAATAAAAAGCAGTGTAAATAGCATGACGTGTAGGTAATTAAACTCTCCACAGTTTTATGTGGGACTGCTAACTCTACGTGTAAACTGAGGGAAGAGCTGAGTGAAGCCCCGCCCCCTCCTGGCGCTTCCCTCCGCTCTTCCCTCCAAGTGTGCAGGCACAACTTGTAGGCAAAATATGCCAAAGCTTTTCTACCATTTGCATAACCATTTCTAAGAAACTTTAAATGTCTGAATGTATGTTGTATTTTCTTTTTTGTAGAACCCGAGGTTTGCTGTTTGATAGTGCAGATTGTCATTGTTTGTTGGACAGTGATGTGGTTATTTCAGGTGGAGTGGTGTCTTGAATTTCTGGTGAAACAACTTGCAATCTTTGGTGTTTTAGGAATAGAAAAGGAGATTGATGCCATTTTTATGTCTGTGTGGAAAACTCTTACAATCTTACCAAGTTTTTTGTTTAGTTATAGTGGAAACATCTTAGCACACTTGAAATTAGATAAAACCAACTTACAAATAATTTTTCAGCAACTCTAAATGATTGTTTGGAGTCAATAGTTTCTTGAAATTCTTGAAAAATACTAATTCCATTGGCAGATTATTTTACTTATAACATGGTAAAAATGTCTTGTTTTAAGTGAAATAATTTCGCAATAGAACTGGTAATTCCTTAATTATTAAGTCAATAATTAAGGAATTATTGACTTAAAACAAGTTCTCATATCTTACTGAAAGGTTACTTACTAACTTGTAAGTTAGTTTTGTTTTTTAAGATATTTCCACTATAAATTTGACCAAAATACTTATCAAAATGTTGTTTTTTTAAATGTATACCCTAACTTTTAATCCTGCAGATGTTATTGATTAAATCAGTCGTCCTGATCAACATGATTTAGTTAACATGTCCCTTTAAACTGAGGTAAAATTGACCACAAAATTATTCATACAAAAAGTTTATTTCTAATAGAAAATAAGATGGATATCTCAGAAAATTATAATACAAAGTAACAGGAACGTCAATTGAAAATAAAACTAAAACTTCAAGATGTATAACTAATTTTGGGCTTCACCATTGTAACTGGCAAATAATGCTAACAGTCATTAGCATAGGAGCTAGCATATTTTCCCAAATTACTTCCAGAACACAGTTCATTTGGGTTTGGCTTTTTTTCCAGATTCTGATTTTGACTTCAGAGGAATCTGAAACCCAAGTTCTGGTCCGAACCCAGCGGTTCGGATGTTTTTCCTTTCACAGGATGTCTGCGCATCCTTAAAAATCTTAAATTCGTGTATCTAAAATAAAAGCTTTAAAATATTTTGATCTTCAGTACAATAATCACAGGTCTTAAATTGTGTTTTGTGACTCAGTGGGGTTGAGTATACCGCTAACTAGCTGCTAATACTGTACCCCCTTGCTAGCTAGCTAGCTTTATTGCGACAATGATTGGCAAATTTATCTACGGTTGATGGGATGACATTTTGTCTTCGCCACTTCTAATGCTACGTACATTATAAAGATTAAAGGAAAGATAGTTAATTTCTTCAAGTCACGTAAGAATCTGGCTGTAGCTGCATTTCCATTGACCATATAATTAAAAAAATTGGAATTATGAAAATAAATTAGCTTAAAGGAAACACATCAGAGTCTACAATCTCATGTTTTTTGATTAAACATTTTTGCGCTGTGTTTTCTCTGTATTAAAATTAGTTTATTTCACAAAACTACAATGGAAAGACTTTTTTCACATCTCAACTGGATGGCAATAAAACACTTAACAAGATGTTTTTTAATAGGAACAAAGTTATTCACATGTCATTTTAATTGTGCTTCTTATTTAATGGAAACGTAGTAATTGCAAATTTGTGTCTATTTCTCGCTAGTGGAATAATGACAAAGTTTTGCAAACATTTGTAGTGGAAATGCAATCAGTATCTCATAGTCAGTCTCACAAAAAGTAGCATTTATTCCTCAGTAGTTTGACACACATTTCTTTTGTACATTTCTGGTGTTAAATTTGATCCATAATGTTTTTTTAAAAGTCTTACATTTAAATTGGTGAAACCCTGTTTCATCCTTTTCATCACGCTGCCTTTTAGATTTGGACCCTCAATATCTCCAGCTGTGGAGTCGATGCACAGACATGAGACTGGTGTGAATCTTCTCAAATCATCCCCAGAATGAGGCAAATATCTCCCAAAATCTGTAATTACTCCCTTATGCCACATGACAACTAGATTTAGGAGCTTTGTTGAAAGGATATAAAAAGGCATCCGTAAAGTCTGCCTGACCTGACTAGTCGTTTTGAACCCTGTTTTTATTTATGTTTTTGCTGTGTATGGTTTAGTTTTTGCATGTATCTTTACAACATAAGCCTGATTTAGCCAAAGCCTGGAGCTTGAGCCTGACCGACTGATCTTATGCATGCAGTGGCTTTTCCTCAGACCTCGCCGCTCACCTCATTACTGACTGAGTGCAGCTGGATTGTGAGGCGTTGAGTTTTGTGAACACAGCGTTGTATAAAAACGATATAATCCCGGTGTTACGTGGACAGCATGTTACCTTAGGAGTACCTCTCGGCATCCTCTTGGTGGCCTTCGTTTTTGTTGTTCAGGGATGCAGCTTAGGCTGGGCGATGACTCGATTTTATCCAATTTTTTGTTTTTGAATATTACATTTTTGAAAAATCTGAAATGTCTTTTTCTCTAAAGTTCAGAGTGATATCAGCACGCCCAAGGCGGCCATCTTGTTTGGCAAACAAGATGAATTCAGTTCATCTCTACAACAATTTAGAAAAAGTTACAAGAATAAAGTCAAAACAATACGAGAATATTACATAAGCATATAATATATGTGAGTTGTAATATTAGGAAAATGACATAGTAAATTTGAGAACACAAAAATGACAAAATGTTAATTATACAAGCTTTTTTCCTCATTAAAATGACTTTTTCCTCAGAATTTATTATTCAGTAAAAATGCATCTTTTTTTGCTCATATTATAATTTTATTCTTGTATATAGAAATTCTCCTAGCTTGTCCCCAGCACTCTATTGTACCACATACGAAAGGAATAATTAAAATTAAAGCCACATTTGAAAAACGTTTCTGTCATTTGTAAACCTTAGTGTTCATTTTTTGTACCTAAAATTAAGGCCTTAAAATTACTTAAAATTTATTAAAATACATGTAAGTTGGTCTTAAATACATTGATTGCAGGTCTTTAATTTTGTCTGGACTGGACTATTTAATTTTGTATTTTCTAAGTACTGTTTTTTTTTTTCTTTCTGGGCTTTTATGTTAACCAAAAGTTTGAGTAAGGCACAGACATCTTTACTGCGACACAAAGCAGTTGAGGCTACTGCTAGCTAGCTGCCAATATACCCTTGCCAGCTAGATACCTAGCTTTGCTGCGTCCATCATGGCGGTCGGCTGGACGATGTTTGTCGTCATCTCTTACTCACTTCTGTGGCCAACCTGTAAGATGTTTTTTGCTTTAAACTATTTAAAAAGCAGTAAATTCAAGTAAAATTCTGACGACATCTCATAGTCAGCTTCCTCAGTATTTTCTGTTTTTACTAATTTGTACATAAAATATGTAGTTTTTGTTCTACATTTCTGTTTAAATTTCATTCCTAATGATCATATAAAGTCTTAAATTTGAATACACCCTGTTGTAGTTTCTTGTTTTAGTTAAGAAAAAATAGAATCTGGTATGTAATAAATCTGACATTTTCCTTTTAAGCCAAATCGCCCAGGCATAGATGCATGTGAGCGACACGATGTCCGCCGTTGTGTGCGTGCGTGATTATCTGTTTTATTTATGCAGCAATGAAATGACTATCTAGAATTACTCCCTTATCTATATGAGGAATTTGCTGCATTTTTTTTTATAGTGATTTATGAAAAGGTTCTCAGACTTTGTCACATCAGATTCAACATATTCCTGAGGTGTCAATGTAATCATCTGTTAATCATTTGTAAATGAACTTATTCTGATATTTGCGTGCCATTTCTAACTGGTCGTGTGTTTCTTTGTTCATGTTCTGGCTGCCGTTTAGCAGCAAGTCTCTTAACTCAAACATTTTTCCGTGATGTTGTGGGGACATCCTGGCCTGTGCTTCGTCTTTGCCCTGTGGATTCAGTCCGACACTCAGTGGAAGACCCAAACCTCTCATCCCCTCACGTGACGTTCTCGTACTTCAGGATTTCTTCTGTCAATTGGGTGGAAAAAAGAAAACAAACTCTTGTTCATGTACCAACTAAAAAAACTGCTCTATTCAAAAACATGATGCTGCTTTGATTGCTTTGATAAAGAAATAAATCTTCCAATGATTCAGTGTCTGTGTGTTACTTTTTATGGATTTATTGGGAGCGAGTGAGACCTTTCCTCTCTAAATAGCAGTGTACACACACGCTTTGCCAAAACCGACTGCAGGGAGAAAAATCTAGGACTGCTAGCAGACTTGTGGGGGGAAAAATGAGGCTGTCTCAGGATTACAGGGTAAATAATGCAGAGAATGTTGCTTATCTTCTGCAAAACAGTCCTTTCTCCAAAGATGCTCAGTCAGACAGTGGATATAATCTTTCTACCTTTATTGTGACATATTGGTTAGGAAAAGCGCAGATTAAAAAATAACCTGGTTGCATAATGAGTGTGCGCGCCATTAAGCTAATGCTAATTTTTTATTCAACTCCACCTGCTGTCAGCTAATCTGATAAACCTGAAATAAACTTCAGCTGTTCCAGAAGAATTTAATTTGTTCGGCTAAAATCACAGTTTGCAGAGAGATTAACAAAATGCATCAGTCAAATTTATATGCCATCATATGGTGAAGACAGTCAGTTATAATGAAAGAAAGTATGGAAGAAGAAGAATTTTAGACAAATTCTCAAAGATTTATGAAAAGACAAGGCATAACTGCAACTTACATGTAACCAAATTTAAATTTGTTTAATTTGAGAAATTAATTAACTTAATATTTTACCTGGATACACTTAACATTATTACTTCACAAATTAAATAAAAGTTGAAAAGTTGAATGAGGTTTGGGGGCCATTTGTCAAAACTATAACATTTACATCAAAATCTACTTGTAAAAATTGTCAGATTTTTCCATTTTGTTTCCATTTAACAAAAAAAAAGTTTTGGATATGTGATTCAATTCTTACAAAAAAAAATCTGATAATTTGCTTCAGTAAAGTAGTTCCTGCTTATTTTATTGTTGAGTTGGTAAAAGCAAAAAATAAATTTAAATATAATAAAAATATATTAATTCAAGGTTCTGTACACCTTGGCAATTGGCTTGTTGCAGTTTTCTAAGTTGCATCTAAAACATAAGGTCTGTTTTAGTTCTACATTAAAGGGGATTTTTGTTTTTTAAAAAAGGATTGATTTAAGTTTATAGGTTACAAAAATGTTTTTCACTCCCTTGCTGCCCATGTTGTTTCCCAATTGATCATTATGAGGAAACACAGATGTTTTCCTACTGAGACATTTCACACCAATTTGACTCATAACCACAAAAATACAAAAACAAAGAAATGAACCAGCATTTTAATGAACAGCTGCATCTACACTGCAAAAACTAAATTGTTTTTTTTTTGTTTCTGAACTTCGATCAATCAGGTTTATTTCTGTAACACATTTCATGAACATGTTCAAAGAACAAACAAACATCCTGTGGTCAACAGTTGTGTAAAACAGTCATTACATTTTGCCAAATGCTGTCATCAAATTCATCCATACACATCGTATATGTTGATTAATATTAAATTTGTTGTGATTCAGAAGCAGCTCAAATGGATTTTACATTGAAAGGAACTCAGTGTTTCAGCTGTTTCGCAGTTTTATGGAAGTTCTAGATTAAAGGTGCATAAAAGCTGAATGCTGCTTCTCTGTGTTTGTGGTGCAAGAGTTCTTGAAATCAGACAAAGCTCATTTATTTTCTTTTCAGAAAGATGTATTTGTTTGTTTTAGGTCAATAAATCTTGAAAATAGATTTCAAAATGTATTCGCAGATTTTTTTTCAGTTATAACGGCATTTTTCCTACTTTAAGTGAACAAAATCTGTCACTGGACCTAGTACTTTTTTATTTATGTTGAATTAAAACAATCAATAATATTTTGTTTTGTGATATCAAGTGCACTAAGATATTTGCACCAGTAGCTAGACAAAAACTCTTGGTAAGATTTTGTGTTTTTGCAGACCTAAAACAGTATTCTTTCTCTCTCGTTTAAACATAAAGGCTCGAAACTTTTGCGCAGAACTGTCTATGTGAAGACTTTGTGGGGTTTATTCTCCATTCACGACTGGCGCCTTTGGCCTGGATCCTCCAGGATGTCCACAACTGTCTTTCCATGTGTGTCCAGCAGAGGGCGCCACTGCGGCGCTTCGATGGCCTCCATTAGAGCAGCCAGCTCCCCCTCCAACTTCATCACTGTGTTCTCCACCCTCTGCAGGAAACAAAGGCATATCTTATGAGTGTGGCTGACAATGAATAATACATTGTTATGTTCTACTATAGATAATTGAAACGTCACCCATGAATAATTCAAACAGACCTAAAACAGGAAGAGCTTTGTGATTTGTCTGTTTTCACATAAAGAAGGTTGTGAGTCAGCTTTCTAGATAGACTGAAAACTGGTGTAACCAAGAAAATATGTGGGATTCCACTACTGTTGGCTAAAGGTATTTTAGGGTGTAGCACCTTCTCCACCACGTCCAGCCGGTTGTGGAGGTTGGTGTGTTCCTGACAGACGCTTGACTGCGCCGCCCGAGGTCGCCGGTCGGACTCCGGTCCTGCAAACCAAACGGAAACATTCCTGAGACGTTAACAAAGAACTGCAATTAAAAGAAAACCCGCAACTGGTGTGGAGTCACTGTGGATTTTTGTGGGGTCAACATTAATGCGAGATGAGCGGTTGCTTAAGTCCCCCAGACCACCAGGGGGCGCCCAAGACCACCAACCTACATATTAAAACATAAATGCATACTGAAAATTATATTGAATAATACAAACTAAATAATATTACACAAAAGAATTTATTACTTTTATACACAAATAATGGTTATTTCTTCTTGTTGGGGGAATTTACTTTTAAATTTGTTTACATTTTAAACAGTTAAATAATGACACACTTAAACTTACTACAAAAACACAACATCTTACAGTAGTTTTGTTTCTAGTGCAAATATCTCAGTATGCTTAAAGTAAGACAAAACTAACTTGCCAGTAACTTTTCCACAAGGCATAGAAGCTTTATGTCGGGTCAATAATTCCTTAATATTTATGAAAAAGTTCTAGTTCCAATGGCAGATTATTTGACGTATAAAGTATAGAAAGGTCTGTCGAGGGAACAAATTTTTTTTTTTTAATCAATGTTAAGGAATTAAAGTCGGTGCTGGATCCTGCATGTCAGGGTTCTGCTCAGGCCTTCTAACGAGCCACCATTGGTTCCAGGTCCGTTAAACCTCTGATCTAAACCAAGCTCCTCACGACGCCCAGAACTCGGCCCACTCCGCCATGACGGAGGCCAAAACAACCCATATTTAAAAACATCTGTAACCTGATGTCACTTTTAATTTAGCTGATTTTACTTTAAAAATGGTCATAGGATGCTGCGCGGTCAGCTGCACAAACATACAAGAATAGAAACCAAACTTATTTTATTTTATCATTTTAATGAGGAAAGATACCGTGGTGTAATGGCGGATCTGCAGAAAACTCTTCTTAAAAGGGAAGAAAATTAACTTTATAAGAAAGTATGATTAGAAAATATCAAATTTTGCATTATGGAGAACAATTGGGAACCATGGAGACAAATCTGCACTGTCATATAGCCTGTCATATAGCATGTATGGAAAAAACTGGTTAGCATCTTGTTTTTTGTAAATTTTTAAACCTGCTCTGGTGAAAAAGGGTGCCTATGTCATAATGATATAAATCATGTGATGTGAATTCAGATAAAATCGGTAATTTGATCAACACGTCAGGAGGGACGGCTCGGTTTCTAAGCTAGCTGTTTCTAAAATACCGCCGACCATGAGCCCAACCAGATGTGATGCCTTCACAGACAAATTAGCTTGACTTGAGCAAGAAGAAGCCATGACTAAACTGGCAAAAACAATTTCAGTCGCTCTGTTGTGTTTTTGCAGTGCGTCCTCAAATCCTCGTCTTAAACTTTTTTCAGCCTCTGCGGTGTGAAGTGTGATCTCTCTCCTGCAGGGTGCGCAGGGCTTCCTGCATTGTTCCAGCTGTTTCCTCCTCTCTGCTCTGCTCCCAATTATCCAGTTCTATTTGAAGCCAAGATGCTGGAGGAAGTCTGCATTCATTCACAGGAAATCGCTTCTGTTTTCCAACATCTTTGACTGAAATGTGAAACTGCATGTGAACGATTTAAACATCTGATCTTCAGATTATTTCACCTTCTGCAGCAGCCGTTGCTCTCCCTGATGAGAATCTGAGGGTGTCTGACGGCGTTGTCGATACCAGGATGGGTTTTCACAGACAGGCTGCCATTTTGAGCTTCACTCAGTGTCTTGTTGACCCAGTAAAAGGCCTTTTTGTGCCGCCTAAAGCCGACTTTTTCTCAACAAATCAAGAAAATCCTGTCTGTTGAATATCATGATGCTAAAGTAATATTTCTTGTAGTCTAGGGCATAACTAAAATGCATTTTTAAAGTAAGTTAAATGTGGCTGAAACCAGATTACTTTAAAAAATAAGGATTTTTGCTGCATCACACAGATTCCGGCAACCAGATCTGTTACAACCTTTCTAAAATATAAAGTACGTCCAACTGCTTTAATGCTTTCATGCTTAATAAAAAAAGAAAACCCAAATAATGACTCTTCTTTCTTTTTTTAAAATTTATTATTCAACAGCAGTTAAAGCAGAAAGTTCTGGTTGTCATGGATAAAAACGAACTTCTTTTAGGGACAAAAAGCTGTCAGCTGATTTTTCTCCTTGGGAAAAATGCAACAGAAGTGTGACTTTAACTGTTCCAGAAGAAAAAAGCAGCTGTAAAAAAAACTCTTCACAGGCGGTGAGATTATTCTGCATCACACTTATAATAGGAGAAAATCCCATAGCTTGCCAGGATTTAGGACAAAGATTCATCTTTTGTTCCATTTTCAGCTGGTGAGGAAACCAAAACCTGTTCCCCTCCTCGCCTGTGGTGGCGCTGCAACAAGAACTACTGAAGGAAACAACATAAAAATCTCTGAAGACACAGAGCAAGACTTCCTTCTTCATGAAATGTAAATAAAGACGGAGTAGTGTCAGATTTTGGCGGAAATCTCTCTGCTAGCGATAGCAGCTTGTTTTTGATTGAATTTACCCAGAAGCCCTTTGTTCACTATTTCTATTCTGTTCTATTTTGTTTCTATTATTACGACTTTATTGTTGAAATATTTGGGCCTTATTCTCATATGTTTTTCCTCGTGGTTTTGTTGTATCTTGTAGTATTTTATTTTTTTATGTGTTCTTAGTGAAACTGAGCCAAAGTGCTGAAACTGTTCTCATTCAGATAAACCTTCCTCTGTTGGCAGCTGGATTTCTTTTGGGGTTTTTCTTTTCCTTCCTTTTTTTTTGACATTTAGATTCAGATAGATTTTCAGTTTTAAACAACAGTGATGTCATTTGTTCCATGACCTCAGACCTCCTAGTTGCTCTTTGGAGAAATGTGTTGGAAAACCTCCAGAAAGTAAACACAGTTGTTATTCTATGCAGCTGCCTTGGTTTTAGTTACACAGATCACTTCCCAAAACTCACTTCCCAAAGGAGAAGACTGCCTTTATTTCACAATAACTTCCTTTGGAAACATTTTCCAGACTCCATGATGCTGGCCGACGGGACGCCAGGTTTAATACATGCAGTTTGGAGGCTAATACACTGAAAAAACCCCAAATATATTTGGTTTATTTTCTAGTTTGGTGTCTGGAAAATTAGTCGTTTCAAAAAACTCCCACATTGCAACCCCTGCTTACCCTGTTGCTTAGCAACCCCAGCAGAGTGTCACCTGTTACCTGGCAACCAGAGCTGAGTTCCAGCACATTTGTTCAGCCGGTTTTACAGTTCATGTGCTGTAAAATGAAGTGTTAGTGGTCGATTTACCATCCTGAAACCACTTGTTGTAATATTTTTAGCTGTACAGAAGGCCCTTCGAATGCTTTTCAAAGATGTATAATTTTGCATCTGTTTGCATCTATTTTCATGAGTATAAATGTTGAATTAGGAGGTTCTGGCCAGCAGCAGGTTATGTGGATTTGAAGTGATAGGAGGCTCTAAAACAGCTCATTCTTAAAGGATGAGCTGCTTTAGATTCTTATCTAAAATGATTTTGCCCAAAAAATGTAATTAGTGCTGGAATGTCGTCTTGGTGCGATTTAGAGTTTTTGCAGTGTAAACACCAGGATGGACTCTCTGTGAGCGTGGACACACAGCAGCTGTCTGCCCTAACCTGTGCTTCACAGTGGGAGGTTTTGTTGAACTCGCTCAGGCGTGTGATAACTTGGCATCCCATGTTTCGTCTTTTCATTCAAAAGGTGACAGATTAATCATGAAAGTCGGTAAAAACAGCTGGATGTAAACATGTCTCTGCGTTATTTCCTGTGCAATTCACAAGAGGCACAGCGCTACGCTGGTTTTCCAATCAGGAAGGAGATAAATAAAATGGAGAAGAGGTTCTTAAATCCATCCAAACCACAGCTGTGCCGCCATCTGAGAGCCAGAACCGGCGCAGAGTTTCCAGCCGAGAGCTTCATGATGAATGCCTCATACCAGGACTGTGTGTACCATAAAACTGCATGTGGGCAGAAAGTGGCGCATCGAGAAGAAAGCTACATGTGGCTGAGTTGGGAAGAGTTTTCCCCTCTTCCAGCTCATGCAAGCATTTTTTTCTTTTCCTTACACAAAAACTAGTGTCAGCAGAGTGGAAAAAAAAAACACACCAAAACACTTCAGGAGTTTCCTACACTGCAAAAACACGACATTTTTACCAAGACAAACTATCTCAGAATTAGCTTTTCGGTAAGAGACAGAATCTTGTTTTAAGTCAATAATTCTTGCATATTGATGAAAAAGGCTCACCCTGCAGCAGGACAATGAACACAAATGCAACCAAATCTAAAGTGCTTCAGGTCACAGCATATTTGTTGGAACGGCCCAGTCAAAGTCCAACTGAGAAAACAAATGATTTCCGTTCAATCTGTCTAAACTTGTGAGGAATAAGCAAATATTTCAGTCAAAACTGAAGATGCGCCGCTGGATTTAAAGTAAAATGTGCACTGACTCAGCGGGGCTTAATACAAATTACACACCACACTTTTCAGATATTTATGTGAGAAATTTTTCAGATGTTTATGTGAGAAACAATGTTTTTTCTTCCAAATGACAAATCTGTGTAACTTATGATGGGCCTTTCTCACAAAACCACTATAAAAAAAACCTTAAAAGTTCATAGTGGTAAAAGAAGATTTTGTTAAAACCAAAGGTTAATGATCAGGAGCAATAAAACACTAGTGCAGGTTTGCTGCAGGCAGTTACATGTCATGCAGCAGCTGTACTTTTACAGGCTGAAACTAAACCTCCAGCAGCTGGAAGCCGTTCTGCTGCTGTCAGCATTCACGGTTTTCCTGTTTTTAACATGATGTCTGCTTGAAATTATGTTGTTTTGATTAGTTTGACTCATAATTTAGTAGGATTTATCAATAATAAGTTAAAATTATGGTTAATGAGATTAAAAAATATTTCTGTGTTAGTATTATTTGGTTGTTTAGCAGTCAGGGTAACCTGATTGTAATTTTCTTCAGGATTTGTCTTTGTTTTTGTACATTTCCATTTAATATCAGTAAGAAACAAAAGAGTTTGTTGAAGTATTTGCTACCAGTGAATCAGAAGAAGTGAAGCAACAACTGCAGCTAAATCAGAAACAGATGTGCTGGCAGAACTCGGATTCCTGTGTCTGGATTCAGAGTCAGGCTGGATCTGAATCCACAGAAATCTGCAGAGAATCTGTGTTTCCCTCTGCATGTTGCTCCCATCCCTTACCTGCTGCCGCGCAGCCAATCAGGAGAAGCAGGAGTCCAGCAGATGAGCAGGAGGGACGGGTCATGATGGGGAGGCAAACCTGGACGCTGAAGAGTGTGTGAACAAAAGTAAACAGAAGAAACAAAGAGTGGAGATTTAAAACATAAAAAAATCCAGAAGCACGAAGTAACTTCCAGTAAGCGCTCACAAATCCTTTCCTGCTCGACTCTGTTGCTCCCAGTTTGCTAATGAAAACATTAAATGCAGAACAAAAAGCCTCCGTTTGTGGGAGTCTGGGTGGGATGTTGAGGGGAGGGGACTCAGTCTAAGTTCAGCTGCAGGAAATCTGGATCATATTTATTATCCCGTTTCTGTTTTTCTTTATGATATTCATGCAAATCATCTTCACCCAAAGGAAAACATGACATGATGAGGTTTCTCTTGGTAGCTTCCAGACTGAAAAATATCTCAAACATCAGACTAAGACTTAAAACTTTCTGTATGTTGAAACACTGAGGAGTTACAGTGATTTGTCCAATAAAAAGCAAAAATAATGAGTATTTTATTCACACATTCAGAAATAAGTCCACTTATATACACATTGTGATTCACAGAAAATAAAAATGATAAAATAAAATTCCTTTACAAAAAATATTTATAGACTTCTACCATAAAATAAAAGCTTTTTTTAAAATAATTAAGTTATGATTATAAAATAATTAAAAGAAGTGAGATGATGTAAATTATGAAGAAATAATAAATTTTGAGTTTCCTGGATTATAATCACTTAATTAGCTGAATGATGATGTGTTTCCATTGATAGATTATTAGTTTGATAAAATGTAAGTCAAATAATCTGTAGTGGAAGTAGTACTTTTTCTTCACTGCTAATGAATTATTGATGTAAAAAAAGCTCCTATATCTGCATAAAAATGAGTTTTGTCTTAAGTTATTTGCACTGGAATAGACCAAAATACTTAGTAAGATTTGACGTTTTTGCAGTGCACGTCTTGGAAACACAACACTTGGAATAAATTGGTTCTGTCTTACACCAACTTGCATCAGCAGACTGCAGAGCATCAAATATTTCTCATTTCAAACCAGAACAACCTTCTAATTATTCTTGATTTAATATTTGAAATGCCTCACGGTGAAAACACACCAGGATTAAAGCTGCTTTCCTCCTTCTGGGAAAATCTGACTGCCTTTTATATATCTATAATTGCATTGATTAGTTCCTGCACCTCCCACTGAACTGACCCGTCTCGCTCTCCCCGACTCTCTGACTCACCCGCCTCCCCACACACAGTCTGATACGACTGTTGTGTCGTAAACACGGCTATCTTCGTTAAGCCAGACCGTCTTCAGCCTCCTCCTCCTCTGGCGCACTCGTCTGGCCGCTTAAGTAGCTCTACGGTTTAAGAACGGCGGCGAACAAAACCGGGGGGCAAAGGAGTGAAGGGATCAGGGGCCTTTTATGACAGGATGGGGCTGGGAGGCACGTCTGACTGCAGGGATAGAGGTCACAGACGTGTCGAGATAAGAAACGGCTAAATGTCACATCTCCAATGTCAACCTCCAACGGAGAGGAGTGACGTGAAAGAGAAAGCTCCCAGATTTCAAAATGTCTCTGATGTAATTTGTTTTTTAACTTTGTGTTTTTAAATTGTGAAAATTCAGCAAATCAAAATGTCGTTTTAGTCAAAAACTCCTTAATATTGACACAAAAAAAGCAGATTATTTCACCTGATGCCATAAATGTCTTGCTACATATGAAAAAAATGTGTATTAAGCTAACATAGCAAGAGCAAACTATATAAAATGGCTCCTGGCTGTTAAATATTGAATGAAAGTGAGGAAAATGTTTTAAAAGTTGGTGGTTTTGAGGTCAAAACCCCCTTTCAGGTGTTTCAGTGTAAAAGCACTTTAGGTTTTCTGGTCAGTTACAAAAATAAATATTTTTTTACTTGTTCCTTTCATTTTGAAAAATTTATAGCAGTAGACAGACTCTGAGTCAAAAAAGACAGGTCCAAGTATAGACCCCTGCGGTACACCGCATCATCAAACACAGCTGAGGAACTGATATGAAAGAACCAAAATGGAGATTTCATCCAGAGATCTAAGTGAGTTGTAGATTTGTCTTTCTGGTCCGTCAGCCATCTTGCGAGTGTCGGCTCAGGATCAGCCGGCAGACACAATGTAAAGAACAAAAGGTCTTCAGAGCGCACAAAAGCAGAGGATCACATGACCGTTGGCCGGTGCCACGCTGATCCGTGGTGTGATGGGTTCCTGGAGGCAGGGTCACCTTTTCTCCGTCTATTCCTGTCCTCCCCTCCTCTTCCTGCCGTTCATGTATCTCTTATTTTTATTCAACCTAAGGCCGGTCGGAGCCCCGCCTTCCTGCCATTTAGGAGATGTTGAATCTAATCTGAATGGGGCGAGTGAAGTCATGACTTGCACTTGATTTTCCTTGACTTTGTCCTCTTCTAATCCTATTGTGGCTTTTCTGTACTTACGGAGGCTATCAACAGCTTGACTAAAGAGATGAAGGGGGGAAGCGAGTAAATTATTACTCCTCATGGTCATTTACTGCTCATTCTGCAGATCCTTAAATCATAGACCCCAGAAACTGTTTTATGCATAAATGCTGTTTTTTTGTTATGCTGGACTGAAAACATTAAAACTGAATGATTAGATCTCAAAGCTTGCCAAGTAAGCTCTATAATGCTCCATGTTGAGTCCGTATTAAAGCCAGTGGGGATGAAGACAATCCCATACGTCCGAATGGCAGCTCCTTTGTCTTTGGATTTACCTGGATGCTCCTGGAGGTGCATCATCATTCAGTGCTTCAGCTGTTTTGATTTGTTTACCAGAAGGGCAGAGGCCCCAAAATGGGAAAACGGAGCTTTGTTGTCTAAAAGCGTTGTTGGCTTTTTATTGAGCAGCACAAGTCTTTACTCATCATGGAGAATATTCTAAATTATAGTCAAAATGAATAGCAGCAATTTGTTTTCTTTTTTGTAAGAGAAAAAGAGATGGGGTTTCGTCCCTTTCATAAGGGAATACGAACTACATATTTAATTATCAACTATCAATATTTGGCTCCATTTGCTAAATGTTCAGCTAAATATTTAGCCAGCAAGTAAAATATTTATTTAGCTTACGAACTGAATATTTAGCGCCACACTAAATATTTAGCTAAGAGCTCGCTGAATATTTAGTTAGCTTTGAGCTGAATTTATTTATCTAAAACTCAAGATTTTAAATCCATTTAGAGATAGTTGCTGCTTTTAGTTTAGTTTAAGCCTTTTTTATGAATTATCTGTGAATGTTACAAGCTTCCTTTGATTTTGAAGCGATAATAATACAGTTTTACAGTGTAAGTGCTGTGAAGTGATCAAAAATATATGGATACTCTAATCCTGACTGGAGCTTTATAGAGAGATCTCTATAGGCTGGAAAGTTACCTGTAAGTTAGTTTTTATCATATTTCAAGTGTACAGTGAAATTTGCACTAAAAAGTAGGCTTAAAATATTGGTAAGATTTTGTGTTTTTGCAGTGTTTATTCAGTGAGCGGAAACCTTTTCCCTGTCAAACTGAACCTTTTGACGGCGAAATGATTTTGCAATTTGGTCTCTGAAAACAGACCAAGCGCTTAAAAAAAGGAATCATCTTTTTTCTATAATGCATTTGTCAGGAGGAGAACCAAAACCTATGATGAAAAAGGAAAAATTCTTGCTGCAAATGGTTAAAAGTTCAGAAACTTAGTGAGCCAACAGAACGCCTAAGCCAGGTTGTTTTTAATTTAGTTTATTCGTGCCATCCTTCCTTTCACATATCCTACATTTCGGGAACACTCATGTTACCTTCAGGAGCTCTTTCCAGTAATTCTTGGCATCTACAGTTGCTGCTAAATACAGATTTGAGGATCACATTGGACACCTGATCAGAGTTAAACAGGATCTGAACCTCCTGCTGTGACTCAGCTAGAGCCACTTTCATCTATTTTATTCTGTCCTGGTTACACTGCAAAATCCCAAAATCTTACCAACTAATTTAGGTCTAGTTTCTTGAATAAAATCCTAATTTGCAAGTAACTTTTCATCAATAAATATCAGGTTGGTGGACGCAAATAACTCATTATTATTGATGAAAAAATGCTAGTTCCACCAGTAGATTATTTAACTTAGAACAAGACATTTTCCCCATGTTTTACACTGCAAAAACACAATATCTTGCCAAGTGTCTTTGGTCCAATTTCTACTGAAAATATCTTACTAAACTTGTAATAAGACAAATTAACTTGCAGGTAACTTTTCAGCAAGATATAGGAATTAATGAAAAAGTATTATTTCCACTGGAATATAAATATACTGTATATTTCTGAAAAGCTACTTCTAAGTTAATTCTGCATTTTTTCAATGTACTAAGATATTTACACAAAAAACTGGACCAACAATACTTGGCATGTAAAATAAAAATAGCACAACACGGTTGTATTATTTAACAGGATATTGTTAGGTAACAATTCCCATGTTACAGGTGAAACCATCTGCTAGTAGAACTAGGAATTATTAAGTTAAAACAAATTCCTATCTTGATAAAAAGTTAGTCTGTGAATTTTTAAGTGTACTAAGATATTTTCACTAGAAACTAGACCAAAAAAACTAAGTAAGATTTTCTGTTTTTGCAATAAACTTAACTCTGTGTTATTAAACTGATATTAACTCTTTCTCTCCCATGCAGTCAATCAAGAAACTGCATGGGAGGGAAAAAGATTTTCCCCCTGAAATCTTTTTCATTCTCACTCCATGGTTGTTTCTTGTGTGTAGCTTTCAGTTCACCTGCCTCCAGATAAACCCTAATTCTCCATCTATCTCCTTAGACCGTCTGATTAGCACCGCGTCACAGAAAGGGGAAGTAATCCGCGCCCAGGAATAGAGCCACAGCAGAGACTCTCCACAGCCGCCATGTGTCTGCAGGTAATCCGCTCTTAAATACCTCCGGGGCAGGCAGCTTGGGTCGGGCAGAAGCTCCAGTCAGTGTCCTGTTATCCCTCGGACAGGCAGCAGCAGGATGAACTTTGCGGCCCAGTTATTCTACTCCAGCTACCTGAACGAGAGGCTGGAGCGTTTGTTTTCACCGAGGCCTGCAATTAAAGACAGCGAGGAGAATGACCCGTTCTGGGAGAGGTGGGACGTAGCAACCAGTAGAGACCCTGACCCCTGACCCCTGACCCGCTCCAAGATAGCAACCAATTTACCAACTGCAACGTTAGCTGCTTTTCCATTACAAATGCGCGCAAATCTTTGGAGCTGCGTTTTTATCGGCCATAAAATTAACAAGTTCAAGTTTTATTAAAACAAAAAACGTTTGTTTTTTGCTAACACAAGGTGGTTTGTCAGCCATACAAAACATTTTTTGCGTCAAATTAGTCACGTGATCAATAACTGGATGTTACTACTGGCAAAAACTACGAAGAAAATAAGGGTTAGGATTTTAAAAAAGTGTTCACTTCTTCCTATTCCTTTTTAAACAGAAAAGTTGTGGTAAACTAATAATTTTGTTCTTGATTATGAATAGGCATGTTTTGCTCTGTCCCACTGATTGCTTCTCCTGTTGTCTGTTTTATCTGTTTCAAACAAAAGTGAAAAAATAAAGAAGATGGCAGGAAATGGTCGGAGGATGATGTTTTTCCTTTCACTAGAGCTCTCATGGCAAGGCACAGTTCATAAAAAGTTGTGTGTCCCTTGGGCTTGTTGAATCCCTTGCTCTTCTGTAAAATCTGCGACTATAATTTTCCCAAAACGCTCCAAAATAAAAGAGGTTCGTCGCCTCCTCTCATGGCTGACTGATTATGAGCGCTAGCGCCACGACTAAATTATGAATACATCTCCTGGAGCTGTTTACGACCATCACTGCTATAATTTTTAATTATTTATTGCGTGAACAAGCTTATCCACTTGAGATTTAAATATTATTTCTTATTTAATGGAAACACAGCAATTGCAACATTATGTTTGTTTGTTTTTTTTTCCACCGTTACCAGAATATCATCAAATATTTGCTCACATTTGTATGGAAACGCGATTATTGGTCCTCTCTCATGTTTACCTTCGCTGTTGGTCCATCCAGTTCCCAGAAAACTCTCTTCCTCTGTTTGGTTTCCTGTTCATTTTGATTGTTTAGCCAGAAAGGCAGAAACAGAAGAAGAACCTCCTAAGAGTCATTTGGTCATACTTTTAGTTCTGCACTCATGCAGGCTAAAGCAAACCTGCCAAGAAAGTCAATTGATGCCAAACCTCAACACTGCAAAACACAGAATCTGACCAAGTATTTCTGTTGAGTTTTCAGTGCAAATATCTCACTACACTTGAAATAAGAGAAAAAGTAACTTTGTTTTAAGTAAATCCCATAACATTTATGAAAAAGTTCTAGTTTCACTGACATATTATGGCATTTTTCCTATTTTATCAGTGAAATATTAAGGTATCTTGACTTAAATCGGTTATATGTAAGATAGTGTCTTATTTCAAGTGTGCTAAGACTTTTACATGAAAAACTAGACCATAGAAATGCTTGGTACACTTCAAAAACACAAAGTCTTACTTATTTCTAGTGTAAATATCTTATTACTCTTGAAATAAGGCAAAACTAGCTTAAAGTAACTTTTCAGCAAGATATGGAGGCTTGTTTTAAGTAAATAATTTCTTAATATTGATTTAAAAAAATACTTGGCAGATAAATTAACTTATGAGAAGATATTTTTTCCATGTTATAAGTTAATTAATCTGCCGATGAACTAGTTCTTTTTCATCAAAATTAAGAACTTCTTTACTTAAAACAAATTACTTAAGTTAGTTTTGTCTTATTTCAAGTTAACTTATCAAGAAGACTTGATAAGATTTTGTGTTTATGCAGTGAACATTAAATAAAGCACCGTCAGCACTCAGGGTCTTCAGAAAAAGCTTCACCATTCATCCAAATGAACTCTTTGAAGAAGACCTGTTAAAATGATAAAAGCCAGCTGGGTTAAATGCCTCCTTGACCCGCTTTGCTTCATCCTCCGTCGTTATTTTTTGGCCCATTTGAAGCAGAATAAGCTCCTGCTTACCACTTCATCCCCTCTTCTTGTCCTTTGAAGAGGTTCTTCAAGGTTGCCATGTTTTTCTTTTCCTTCCTTTGATGCTTTTTTTATTATTATTATTATTGAACGCTGCCCTTGCAGGTGCAGCTTTTCTCTTATTCTCATTCACATTTATAAGGACACTCAGGTTTCAGTACATAACGGATAAAATGGGGCAGAGCGTGTAATGGATTCGTGAGACCAGGTGAAAGGTGAATGTGCTGCTTATAATAGACCACTGTGAAAGAAATAGAGCAGGGTGTTGTCTGCAGAGACAGATTTACCCGAGAGAGCAGCGCCACCTGGTGGCCGTCTAGCAAAATAAAACCACATCCGCTAAATCCATTTTGATTTGTTTTAGTGCCTAAGCACATTACTTAATGCATTATGGGTAATCCTTTATGTTGCAGGAGGCCTGCTCTATAAATTACACTTCAAAGTATGCTTAAAAAAAAAAAAGGTCCAAACCAGGTTTGTTTGGTGTCCTTTGATAAATGAGAGTATATATGGAGCAAAATTAGACAATTCAGATTAATTGTGTCCATTTACTAAGCTGTTATAAATCAAACTAACCTCCCTTCAGCTCTAAATTGCCACTTAATTTACATCTCCCTTAAAAGAGCAACTGAACCAACCCATACATCATAAGTAGACTTATTGATGTAATCAGTCACGGCCACTTAACGCTTGGATAGATGTGAAGGATGAATCAGTTCAGCTCAGATTTGAAGGATTTATTATTCTGTCTACACTTTTACTGAGGCCAGTCCTGTTCCTTATAACCCTGGAAATACCAGAAACTGTCATTTTAAAAGTGTTTGTTGTGATAAAAGTGCTTTGTTAAGAAGATACAAGCATCAGACTGAAGTAAATGTGTGGCCATCTTGAATGTTGTCACAGTTTAGAGATGAAATGTAAGGAAAACGTCTCATAACGTTTTCAGATAAAGGTTTTTAAGCTAGAATGAGGTCGTTTTGTTTGGTTGCATCAAAACTGCAACACTTTTTTCACATCACACGAGTCGTGATCACTTACTACAGGCGGAAAAGACAAATAGCACGACAGGAACTGCTAGGAGGAGGATGGCGTGGCGATTAATTGATTACCTTCATTCAATTTTAATAATTTTTTCTTCCTCTTGGTTTCTATTCTAAAACAAGTTACGAGCCTCAATTCTCATAGAAAAATTATTAATTGTATTCTTGTAATACTATGACTTTATTCTCATAACTGAAAAAATTATTTATAGCTTAGCTGAGTCATAGAATTGACGTGAACTCAAAGTCCAAGAAATAGATGCTGTGAAAAATGCTTGTCAAACAAAATGGCTGCCGTGGGTGTGCTGGCATCACTCTGAACTATGGAAACCCAAGGAGTGTACTAGTGGGAAATTATCCATATTTTCTAAAAATTAGATCTGGAGAATAATTTTTTTTAAAATCAATAAGATTAATTTATTGACCCACCGTGATACCACCTATTAGTAAACTGAAAGTGCTTACAATTTGGTCTTTCAGAAGCCTGAGGAACCAAAACGTTTGACCAAATCAGAGGTCTGGGGATTGTCTTTGAACAATCTTAAGATATTTAGATTTGCCAAGCTTTTGGTTACAAATTTCTAGTAGAGGTTTCATGAGTTTAGTACCTTCTGGCAAAAACATTAGCACCTGAAAGTTATTCTCTATCCTTCATTTGTGTGTTATTTCAGGGAGGAACTGCGTCTTGGCCCCAGTCTACCAGGAGGTTCCTACAAACCCGTCTGTAACGGCGCTGTGGGCCGCCGGCCGACTCTCATTGAACCGGAGCGTCTCAAGGATTTTGGTGAGGAGGAACTTCTCAATGGAGATATTAAGTACCACCAAACCAGCGTGACTGTAACCCCTGAGATGAAGCTCATGGATCCCCCCAAAACCAGAAGAGTGAGTGAGTTCAGGATCATCCCCAAACCTCCGGCTCAGTTCCTCCGATTTGAGGACATCAGCGCGGCAGCCTTCACGATCCAGTCTGCGATACAGAAGACACCTTGCACGGTACGCTAGTTGTGTGAATTTATGAGGGAAACAGAGAGTGTTGTGTATTTAACTTTTAGGGAGGCTGATTCAGTTGAAATTCTGCCAGAGAAATCCATGTCAATGGAAGAAATTTGAGACAGAGCAGAGAAGGGAGATGAGAATTGAGCAACTTGCAATGAATTACATTGGAATGAAGAGTGGGTCAAAGTTCATCTACTATGATGTAAGCAAGTGGTTTGTGGATGGTAAGTCAAAAACAAAACACTTGCCTTTTCCAGCAGCCATTGTACCGCAGTAAAACCAGCTGGCTGGGTTGCTAGGTAACATACGGAACTCTGCCGGGGTCGCTAGGTAACGGGTGCTGATTTGTGTCGTTACATTTGGAAGGTTTTTGAAGTGGCTCATTTTCCAGACACCAAAAAAAACATGAAGTTTTTGCCCAAAAACGTCTGTGTGTGTGTTTTCTTTAAGTGCTCAGTCTTTGTTTTAGAAGCAAATGGAAGAAGAAAGATGTGAATTTTCCACCGTAGGTCTCCTTTCATGACTAGTTTGAACAGAAAGCAGCAGCCAGTGAGCATTTCAGATGATGCTGCTTGTTTATGCGCAGTATTCCAGACTGTCCAAGCAGTACGGGATGGAGATCTTCCTGAAGAAGGAGCATCTTCACTACACCGGCTCTGTGAAGGAGAGAGGAGTGCTGTACCTACTCACCTCCCTCACACAGGTAAATACAAGTCCTCTTTCTGTTCAGATCATTTGTGAATCAGGGTGACAATGACAACCGTGAGTTTGTCTCCTCCCAGGAGCAGCAGAGGAAAGGAGTGATCGTGGCCACCGACTGTAACTTCTCCATGGCCGTGGCTCACCATGCGACCGAGCTGAAGATACCAGTGTTCGCCATCATGCCATCAAGCTGCTCTTCTCCACGCCTGCGTACCTACAGAGACTACGGCGCCATGGTCATCTCGTACGGCGGCACCGGCCACGACTCCCAGAACCACGCCCGCCATCTGGCCAAAGAGAACGGATACCTCTACCTGGAAGAGTCAGTCTCATTTTAAAACTTGTAATATCAGATTTCAGATATGCTGGTAAAGCAAGAGGACACGACTGAAACTATTAATCAGATTAATCGATTACTCAAATAATCGTCAACTAATTTAGTCATTGATTAATCGTTAAATGGAGTAAACAGGGTAACAAACTGCACAGCATGGTGATGGCAGCACCATACTGTGTGGTTGTTTTGATATATTCAAATATTAGCGCTGAAACGATTAATCGGATTAATTGTGATTAATTGATTACTGAAATAATCACTAATTAAATTCAAGTTTCTTTATATAGCAGCACATTTCAGCAGCAAGGCAGTTCAAAGTTCTTTACATCATAAAAATATAATACAATCAATTATGAAACAAGCATTAAACATTACATTTTGTGAAATATAATCAAAATCATCAATACACATCAAAATTAGTAATAGATTAATCATTAACTGGAGGATATGGTCTAAGAACAATACACTTAGAGCAATTATTAAGTCAAAACCGTGCAAAAAATATATGTATTTTGTACTTAGGATAAAGAAAAACAACTTTGTCTATAAATATGTTTTACCAAGAAGCTTTAGCTTCAATTGGTTCCAATTCTGTAATAAAAATAATCTCATATTAAGCAACTTTTGCTGTTCAAATATTCTAAAAAATAAAAACAAAAAAATAATCAACAGATAAATCCCAAATTTTAATAATGTTATGCAGAAATGGCTGAAATTTCTACATCCTTTGGTTCAGATATTCAACAGTTTATTAAAGGAATGCCATGCTATTGCTTATGAGGCAATAAAATTATTTTTTCTTATTTTAGAATAGAATTAAATTATTTGTTTATGTGTATTTATTGATTACTGGATCAATCATCAGAATAATTGATTACTAAAATAATCGCTAGTTGCAGCCTCACATGAGCACATCGAAGCTTTTCCTTGTTTCCAGAGATGAGAGTGCAGTGTACCTGGCAGGACTGGGAACTGTGGGAATGGAGATCTTTGACCAGGTTCCCAAAGTGGATGCAGTGGTTATTCCTGCAGCAGGACAGTATGGACTTCTGGCCAGCACCGCCGCAGCCCTCAAATACCTCAACTCCCAGATTCTTGTTATAGTAAGTACACATAAACTGCACTAAATGGTGATCATAAAGCTTCTTTTTGTGCAGCCTATGTAACATGGATTGTTCACAATGTGACAAACATTTTCTAGAAGTTACAGATTTCTTCCCAGATCCAAACATTTGGTCACATGGGCAGAAACTGTCAGGTCAAACATATTTGTGGGCCAGAAATAAAATAAAATTAAGCAAAGAAAGTAGTCAATTTTTTCCACAAAAAATGTCCCAAATTTAAAAAGGATATTTTGCACATTTGTTGTTTGCTGAACAGCAAAATATTACTAAGTATTTTTGCTTAGTTTTTAGTGCAAATACCTCAGTACACTTAAAATAGGACAATAACATTTCAGTAAGATATAGGAGCTTGTTTTAAGTCAGTAATTATTGAGTATTAATGAATGAAATTGGCAGATTATTTCACTTGTAGCAAGATGTTATAAGTGAAGTAATCTGCAAGTGGAACTAGAACTTTTTTATCAAAATTACTGACTTAAAACAAGCTCATAAAAAACTTTACTTTCAAGTTAGTTTTGTTCTATTTTTAAAATTTGTTTCCAGATTTAACTTTTACAGGTTTTTTTGATAGAAAATATGGTTTATTTTCGCAGAAGTTACCTCCAGTAACTTTTACATGTCACTTTCTGTGAACATAAACAAGAAAAAAACTAACTTTTACAAAAAGTTATTCATAATCCAAAGCTCTAAAATAGAAAAGAAAACTAATTTTCGTATTGTAAATAGTAAAGCTTTCACAGGGGCTGCAGTGGAAACATGAAATAATCAAACATCCCCAGGAGATTCTGGGTTGATCTGAACGAGAAAGTATTGTTTTCTAATCTGCCTTTGTGACTTTAACCACACCGGATATCATTATCTCTAAACACTTATGTACATTTAAATATTAAAAATTGAACTTTCTTTAACAGGGAGTTGAACCAGAAGGTTTCCCCCTGCTGCTACAATCTCTGAAAACAGACGGTCCGATCAAAAACCTGCACAGCAACCCCAATAAGAAGCTGTATGGAGGTGAGAGGCAAACAGTTCTTTGCTGATGCGCTTTGATGCAAAACCCATCAAACTTTGAAATGTCGTTCATAAAGTTACACATTCAAAAACTAACAGCATTAATTTGGGATTTTTAGCTTGTCGTGAATATTTACTGTTAAACACTTAGCAGTAAAATAGATATGTAGTTACCAAACTAAATCTTTAGCTCAAAATTAAATGCTTTTGTCAAAATAAAAAATTTAGTTAGCAAGATAAATATTTAACTTCAAACTAAATATTTCATGCATTAAACTTGATATTTGGCATTAAACGAAATATTAAGCTGGTAAGTTACATATTTACCTCCAAGCAAAACATTAATTACAAAGCTAATTATTTAGCTACAAGCTTCAAGTAAATTTGCATATTAGCTAAATATTTACCTCTAAGTTAAATGTTTAGCTTGCTCTTTAAATATTTAGTTTAAAATTTAGGTATTAAATTTTATGGTCAAAATAGTGACTTTGAAAGATAATTTTTTATTGTCTAAATATGAAATTATTTCTGATCATTTTTGACTGTGTAACTTTCCAAGCCGTTATCTATACAGGTCGTCACGCTGATGATGATGAAATCGGTTAACTTTCTGCTCACATGTTGGCAGAACATAATAAATACATTTCTTTTCTTACTAGTCGGTATTGTTTCTCTTTTCAGATTTTAACGAGCGTTCGCTTGGTGCAAATACCTTCCATCTGTCCAAGAAACTGATAAACAAAGTTATTCCTGTCAGGTACTGCAACTCCCAACAAATCCACACCATGAGACCAAAAAAACTGTTTTTTTTGAAGAAGTGAGACGAACAACGTCGTATCTCCAGAATAATCTCGCCACTGTGATCTTTAATCCGTCACTTGGTGAATTCGGTGTGTGAATTTTGATTTCTGTTTTGTTGTCAGCGAGGAAGACTCTCTGGTGGCGATGCTGCGATTTCAGGAGGTGGAGCACTCCACAGTGGACACAGTGGGAGCCATGGGACTGGCTGCCATATTGGCAGGGCAACTTCCAGAACTGAGAGGGAAAAAGTGGGTCAGATATTTGAACGTTGTCTGGTTTCAGTCTAAACTCTGAGGTTTGACCCAGTTGCCGCCCTGACAATATCACAGCTGGGTGGTAACTAGCTTCATTTACTGCAGGGTGGTTGTTGTGGTGAGCAGCGCCAACATGGAGCCGGACCTGGTGAGGCAGTGTGTGGACCGGGCCCTGGTGCTGGACGACCGGGTCAGTAAATTCTCTGTGCAGCTGGGAGAATGGCCAGGAGACATGGCCAAACTGCTGGACGTCTTGTCCAGAGAGGACGTCAGGTAAGGACAGGTTCAGACTTAATCTGTTCCCATTTTGGTGCCAGTCGTTTCTTTAACTCGGCGTGTTTTCGTTCTCCACCCAGACTGCTGGACGTCTGCCATCGCAGACACAGTGACAAGTCAGACGTCTTCAAAGCAAAGGTAGGCGGCTAATTTGTCCTTTTCTGTCCTTTTTCCTGATTTCATTAGTCATAGAGTCTTCAGTCAGAGGCTTCTTCAGAGACGCTGCAATTAGGCCAAATTTTGCTAGATGATCAATCGAAGTCATTGCGATAAACAATAATTTTGTTGTTTTGACACCATTTTCAAGTAATTTAATAGTTCAGGACACATTCTCAAAGATCAACAAACTTCAAATTCTAACAAACATTTAATACTGGAATGTTTAAAATATCCAAAATAAATAAACAAAACCAAAACAACAAATCAAATTAATTATGAAGTCCTTAAAAAAGGGGATAGTTGAGACCAAAGCTCCAGACTGAAAACTTTTATCACCCAGTTTTTGGTAAAAAAAAAGAAAGAAGAAATTATTTTAATTTGTCATGTAATTAATTCAGCATCAACTCTGAGGAAAATTGTAAAATATGAGTTAAAAAACATTTAATTTCCCAAGTATTTCAGAATTGAGTTGTGAATAATGAGGAAACATTATTATTTAACCAACCATAAAACAAAACAATCCTAACAAAATAGTTTTTTTTTTCACCAATTCGTAGAGGTTGGCAATACAGACGTGAAGTTTTATCACAGTATTTTTGTGGTGCTATTGTGATATCTAAAACTACTTATTATGTAATTGTATGACTTTCACAAATAAATGTCAAATATCGCTAAGTTTCTATCACTAAACTGCTCACAGAATCTACATTTAAATTACTTTTTATTAGTCCAACCACTGAACAAACAGTGGAGAAAGAATAAAGAAAGAATTTGAATCACTTTCTTTAAAAACTCTTGCTAAATTTACCCAAGTTTAATAAAAAATAAAAGTTGATATGAGTGCAGCAAATGTGGCTTTTCAGAAAAAGTCTGAATAAATGTGTTTTTACTGTTTCCATTACAAATGTGTGTAAAACTTTATCAATATTCCTCTATTGGCAAAAATAAAAACACTCAACATGACAATTCAGGTGTTTTGATTAAATAAGAAGTGCAATTAAAATCTTGTGAATATTTCTGTTCCTAAGTCAATATGTAGGAAGTGGTCGTCCTACCACTTCCTGTCCTTGTCTTCTTCGTGGTTCTTGCCAGTAGTAACGTCCAGTTGTTGGTCATGTGAAAAAAAAAGTGTTTCCATCACAGTTTTGTGAGTTGTTCTTTTGTTTTGTTTCCTTTGAGAGAATTTATTTTGAAAAGATAATTCATAAGAAAATTATGCTGCTGATAATTTTAAAACTCTCTCGATTTATAGGCCAAATTTTGTGAGTTTTTCAACTGCTGTTTTTAATTGCACGCAATATCACTTCAAGGGCCACAAATGGCCAGCGGGTCACACTTTGGACACCCCTAAAATAAAGTTTTAAATTCCCAGGATCTAGCCATGTTCTAAAAGGTCATGCAGGCAGATTAGCGTCGCCAGTCTCTCCACATAAAGTTCCATAACAAATCCTCACACCACATATAACACTTTTTCCTGGACTCGCTTTCTAATCTCCCTAATTCTGATTGGAAACAAGATGAAAAGTCTCTTAATCTCTGGGCTCCTCTTCGGCCCAGACTAATTATTACGTTGTTTGCCAAAAGGTGAAAGGTCTGGGCTGATTAGCAGGCGTCCCCCTAACTCTGCAACAAAGTATACGTGTTTGTTGTGTTGACAGGTGGAGTGTGTGGTGGAAACCAGGGACAAGACGCAAAGCACTCAGCTGCGCAAGACGCTGAACGAGCGCTACCCTTCGATATGCTGGCTGGACCGGTGATTGAAACAAAACGAGACAAGAGGAAATAAGGTGGAGTGTAAATAAATCTGGAAGGGATTCCCAACACATCCTTCAGTAGGACAATAACCAACCAATAACCGATCTCTGGATCTAGCGCTTATCAGAATAAAACACTCTGAATTAGCTGCAGGTTGGATGGTGTGGTTAGTTTCAAGATAATTTCCCATTATTATACAAACGCAAGAAAAGACTAAAAGTAGAGGTTCACAGATTGCAGTTTCTTTAAAAAGCCAGACCTGCATTTTGGTGGATACCAGGCTTTTCTTGTCTGAAATGTCGCTAACTGTGTGACGTCACGCTGCTCAGCTTTCCACTTGCTCCGCCATGATGGACGTCAAAACAATCAACGCGCTCCTTTGAAGCTCGTCAAAAGAACAAACATGTGATAGCTTAATATCTCTTCTATTTAGTTGATTTCACCTTAAAGGTTGCTGCACAAACAGACAAGGATAGAAACCAAACTTGTCATTTTACTACATAACTTTTAACGAGGAAAGATGCATCGCAGCCGTCAATCATAACGACTGGCAGCTGTTGACGCCTGAGTGTAACCGCAGCAAACAAATCTGCTGCAAATTACCTTTTACAAGGTAATTACATCAACGTTCATATATCAAATATTGCCTTATGGAGAAGGTGCGCGTTTAACCGTAACCATGAAGACAATACCGCAGTCATGTAGCCCAGCATGTACGGGAACAAACTGGTTAGCATTTCGTCTGTTGTACGTTTTTAAGGCTGCTCAGGTGTAAACGGTTTTTATGACATAATGATATAAATCATGAGGTGTGAATTCAGGCAAAGTGTCAGGAGGGAGGAGGAATGTGTCGGTTTCTAAGCTAGCTGTTTACAACTTTTGCAAATACCGCCGTCTGTGAACCCCAACCAGGTGTGTTACGTTCATAGAAATATAAATCAAGAACAAACTGGCAAAAATATTTTCCGTCACTCCTCTCCCTCATTTCCGACGTCCATCATGGCGCCTGGAATGATCAAGTGACGTAGTGACAAACGGTCAGGACAGCGGTTTAGACCTTTGATGAGGTATAAAGACAGTCTTCATGTGGAAATGTCGGCTGATCTCCCAAAATTAAGGACATTGGCGCAAATAAATCGGTGCGCCCCCTAAATAAAAGTTGATGTTTTCAGAGTATATATATTTTTAAGAAGCTGTACATACTTCTGTATTTATAAACCTAACCGTAGAAGAGTCCGAGAGAGACAACAAAAGCGAACAAATGTTTTTGTTTTGTTTCTGTGCAGATTTTATGAAAGGGAAAAAGGACAGAAATGCATTTGTTGTGTAATTAAGCCTGGGCTGCTTAAGAAGAGCTAAAGCTCTTAATGTCTTTAAGCAGAGGGCGATGTGAAAACCTGTGCTGCTGATGCTGCTGCTTTGAGTCGTAAAACCTGAGGTTGAGCAATGCAACTGTCCTGCTGACGAAGCTAAAATAAAATTATGGTGAACATCCAAACAATTTCAAGAAGATTCTTTGTTTGATTTTCTGATGTTTGTTTTTAAATGGTGACTGAATCTGGGTTTTTCTGACAGGTAGAAACATTAAAAAACACCCATTTACTCCATTATGAGTTACTGTAGTAAAACTGTCAGAGGTATGACACGCGTCACTTAATTTAAAAAAATATATATTAAATGCTAATTTTTTTAGCATTTGAACACTAAAGAAAAATGTATTCCTACATAAAACATTGCATTTATACAGCCATGAAAATACAATTTTGAAAATTACAAGCATAAAGGCGTTATTGAAACTTTTTCACAATATGCCTTTATTCAAGATTGATTTTATTCCTGTATTATTTATTTAACTTTATTCTCATTTAATTTCATTCTCTTAATATTGTGACTATTTTTATTTTATTTTCATCCTTTATTAGTATGACCCTAATACTAACGGTACATTTGTATAAATTGCTTTCCAAATATTAAAAACTGGAACGGGTTGTGAATCTATTTGGATCAGGTAAAAGTTGTTTTTTTTCCCCCCAGTTTTCAGTCATTAAATTACTTTAATGACTCAATTAAAACCTCATCCCAGTTTTTAATCAGAAGTGTGATTTTTCTCATTCTTGTGTGACCAGGCTAACCATTATCAGCACTTCAAGCTAATTCCAATTATTTATTCAGATTTGATGCATTTAAGCACTAAAGAAACGTTTGCAAATAGAAGGAGTTCAGCAATATGTGTGTTTGGGACACAATCTGGGAAAAGTGCAAAATAAAAAGATCACTACCTGAGTTTTCACAATCTGCTGTTGATGAGCTCAGTTTCAGAAAGAGCAGGAGCTTCTTAAAGAGACAGAGGCCTAATTTCAAGGGAGAATTTTGTTTTAAGTCATATTCGATATACATGTATGATTTTTGTAACAGCTGACACTAACATAGTTACTTAATTGTCATGTACACATGTAGTATCTGCCTGGAAAATACATGATCCTGTCTCTTTGAGGTTCTGTATTTTTATATCCAAAGTCCAAACATCAGTCTGACCTAAAGGTCTGCAGCAGGACTTGCCGTTTAATTTTACTTTTTGAGTCTTAATTTAAAGACTTTTAGAGGGTGTAAATAAATAAATGTTGTTGTAATTCCACCCAGACCACAAATCTAATGGTTTTTTTCAGAGAAAATCCAGATAAACAACGTAAATGAAACGGAAACCAGTTTGCAAATTATTGTCTTTATTGAAGACTTTCATCACCTTCGACAGGAAGCGAAAGCGCCGTAGAGTGACTGAGGTAATATGAAAATATCTCCCATTTTTTAAAATCTTCTCTCGGGCCGACAGCAGCGTACCTGTGCCTGACGTTACGACTGAGCAGCAGTTGAGGAATCTCTATTGCACCTCGCAGGCTTGTTATAAACATCATTAGAGCACAAAGTAATTGATCCAGGACTCCTGTTGTATTGCACATAAAATCTATCTGAAGGCAGTCAACAATATTATTAATTTAACATCAATTCAAACATTTTCTCCAGCTTTCCTTCATAGAAAATAGATGGAATGTAGTTAAAATGTATGCACCAGTGAATTAAAGGTTACAACAGAGACACTAATTCAATTTCTAGTGTTTATATCATCGGTTTTCCCTCATTCTAGGGGGAAAAGGCACCAGGAATGTTCAGCTGTTTCGCTCTGAAGGCTCCGCCGGCCGCGTTCAGTACCTTTTGTGGCGCTTCGGGTTGTATCTAATGAGCGGGAAGAGCGAGGCGTAGCCGAACAGCAACGTCTGGATGAACCACCGCCAGCGAGTGTTCGGGTGGTTGATGCCTTTGTCTCTGTGAGGAAACAAAAATAAATGAACATAAAAGCGTTAGTGACAGTTTTTAGACGTGATCCTGTTTTTCTGGTGCTTGTATGGCTGAAATTCAAGCATGTTTCAAGTATTTTCAAGGCAAGTTTTCAAACTTTTCCAGCCCAACACTGGAAAAAAACCAATAAAAATTAATTAAAAAATACAGATGCATTTTTTCACTTCCAATATCTGAGGTTTATCAGCTGACACTGATCCTAAACTGAAAAACAAAATCAACTTAAAACCTCTTTTTTAAAAAAATAAACATGAAACAACAGATTTGACAACTCTGCACATTAAATACACAAATAACGTATTTTCCGGACTCTGGAGCACACCTCACTTTAAGCAAAGTTTTTTTTAACCAGCAACTCCTGACCCCACTAGTGATAAGGGTGAACAGATAATGGATGAATGGATGAAAAGCCGCACCGAGGCGACAAGCCCCACGGTTCAAAGTGTTGGAACAAAGTAGGATAAAATACAGTGAGTTCACAAGCTTGATCAGACATGAAACAATTTGTCATTTGTTCAGTCGGTGCAATTAGACAATGTAACAACAAATCATAATTCAACTAAAATTGACAAAAATAATAGTTTGACTACTTTTTATCAAACATGTAAAAACTAAACAGCAACAAAAGATTTTAATTGTTCAGAAATTGAAGTTTGGATTCTAAATAAAATAAAAAATAAATGTTAAAGCATGACGTCGCTGTGAATCTGTGTGAATGCTGTTTATTTTTACTTTTTGAGGCTAAATTTAAACAGTTTTCAAGCGTCTAAATAAATATTTAAAGCATAAAATTGGACTGAATAGATCTACATTTTTTAAAAATATCAGGACCAATACAGACATTAAAATCGGATCGGCGCATCTCTACCAACTATATGACAAAAATTATCACTGTTATTACTGTCTTGTGATAGTTTTCTACATTCTACAGCAGAGAGCAGGGAAACTGACATATAAATGCATTTTTTATCTGTCTGAGAACAAAACCCCAATTTAATGATTTCAATATCATTGTTTAAAATATAAAATATACAAAATTTTACGTCAATAAGTAATTGAGACACTAGGAATAATAAACATTACAAAAAAAATTCTCTAGAAATTTTCACGCTAAATTTTCTAGTATTTAGGAAATGGAAATAATCAGTAATTCTGACCTAAAACAAGGACATTTTAGTCTGATTTAACTTCAGACAGAGAATTTTTTTTTTACTTTTCTTATTAACAGATGTATTAAATTTAAAAAAGAATGTTTTCCACATTTAGGCTTTTAATTAAACGTTAGATTACATTTTATTACAAAACTGTGCAGCTTGAATAACAAGAACTTTCAAACACTTGATACAGAAATCCAGCAAACCTTGAAATATTTATCTAAACATTAGTGAATAAGATATATATTTATTTAAGTTTTTGTGTAGTTTAGAGAAAATCCACAACAAATTCTAACTCTTGTTTATAAAATTGTTTAAAAACTTGTTTTTTCTGTGATATTTGTGCTCACAATTATTGTATGCACCACCTAATGGACGGTTAGGGTCGCTGCAGTCTTACCTGCACAGCTTCAAAGCGTAAAGAGCTTCTAAGCCATGCACAGCAACGGCAGCCCACCACCTGAAACAGACAGAAAAACCCTTTTAATCACCTAAAGAGAACTTCAAAGCATCAATTTCTCTCGTTTGTCCCTCTAAAAAACTCTTTATCCTGCTTTTACAATTTTTTTTATTTTATAACTACAAACTGGGACAGCAGGACTGGCCTGGACAGGACTTACCCGGTTCACGTCCCCCCACCCCCCGCCCCCACCCCCGAGTTTCAGGAGAGGGTCACAAGACTTGGAGACACTTTGTCTACGCAAATCACAGACGCCTTGACATCGGACCAGACTGTCTCCCTGCAAAAACACAAAAACTTTAACAACTGTCTTTAGCCTTTTTTCTACAGCAAATATCTTAGCAACCATGAAATAAAACAAAACTCATTTATAACCAGATTATCAGCAAGATATAGAAACTGGATTTAAGTAAATAATTCCTTAAGGTTTTTTTTTTTAATGTGCTAGTTCCTGTGGCAGATTATTTCACATATAATAAGATATTTTAATTTTATAAGTGAAATAATCTGCCTGCTATATCAATATTAACAAATTATTTACCAAAAATAAGCTTCTATATTTTGCTGAAAAGTTATTCACAAGTCAGTTTTGTCTTATTTCAAGTCTACTAAAATATTTGAACTAGAAATTAGACCAAGAATACATGGTAAGATTTTGTGTTTTTGCAGAACCAGAGAACATGAACTCAAAAAAGTTTCACTTTCCAAAATGAACAATTTGAACAAGCATCAAAAAGCAGAAACAAAGTGATACAGAAAACATTCTCTGAGTTAAAATCAGTTAACTATGTTAAATATAACATTTTGTTTATTTTGCTGACAGTTTTGAAGCCAAAAACCTGCAACACCAAGCAGGTTCAGATGATGGATGGTTCTGAAACTTTAGGTTTTGTTTTACAGCTGATAAGACAGAAAACACCACAATTACATTCGGTACCAATGAACAAAATACAATAAATGAACTAAAATTAGTCTGAACAATTAAACATTAAATACAAGTGAAATTTGAGTATCTTTATGACTATTTAACTACAAAATGTACCAAAACTACTTTACTTTGCAAAGAAAATTGACTGATATGGAAGGATTTGGAAATGAAGTCCTGTAAAGTTTGTATGATTAATGAGCACCTGGAGAAAACCCACACACAGAGGGAAAACATGCAAACTGTAACCCAAAAAGACCTTCTTCCTGCAGGGCAACAGAGCTAGACTGCTGCCGCCACTGCATTTCCTTACAGCAGATAACTGGCAGAATACAGAAATCCTTTCAAAAATAATAGAAGGGTGAAAAAACAAGCAACAACCACCAGTCAGTCAGGAGCTGCCTTTGTCAATATTATGGTATTTCCACTAATTGAAAAACGCAAATAAATCGCACATGAATTAGTTTGTTCACGCAATTATGAAGTAAACCATCATCCTCCGACTACTTCCTGTTGTCTCTTCTGCCAGTGGAAACATCCAGTTGTTGATCATGAGACTCAAGATGCAAAAAAAAAAAAAAAAAAAATTTCCATACGGTTGAAAAACCACCTCATCCATAATTTTACAGCAAGTTTTAACATGGAGACTGAATGTTACTTCCACCATTTTATAACAGATAAATCACTAAAGTTACCTTGAAGAACAGAAACATCTGATCTGTTTGTCCCATGACTTGAATTTCTCCTAATATTCAGCAGAAACTGCAGCAGTCATATGACTCTAATGGCTACTTAAGGAGCCACTATATTTAAGATTCACTCAATAGGTGTTAACGGCCCTGTTTCCATTTGAATGGAGCTGATCAGCTGACACGCTTACACATCAGCTGTTTTCAGACTAGCAGAGCTGAAGATTTACATACTGTTAACCTTTTAAGCCATCATTCATCAGGGGACACTGTGTTCGCTGCTTCACCTCCTAATCTCTTACCCTTTGTACATCAGGTCAGCATGGTAGTACACCAGGTGTCTGCACAGGCTGCCAAACGGACCGAGGCAATCGTAAGGGATTACATCCGGTGCGAACACGATCAGCTGCAAAATAACAGTGGAGAGTTAAGAAGTAAAACACCCAAAACAAACAGTTTGTGGCTATTTCTTGTTTATACATTTTGACAAAATGTAATCAAAGCTACTAAGAACGCTGCATTTTTCCATAAAAGTGATTTGTACCTTTTTTTTTTGTTGTTGTAAAAACACAATTATAGTTATAAACAAGTTATAAAAAATAAAAGTACAATGACTAAAATATTTTACAAAAACATTTAAAATAAATACATTAAAATAAGTATATATTTTTAAATAATTTTAACATTTATTATTAAATAAGTGAATAAAAACAAGTTAGAAAAGTGTGGCCTGGGATTAACTTCACATGTGCCTTTTTGGGTCCCTAAATCTAAACTTTTTCTCTTCTAATGTGGTTTTTGTTGCTTTGCATCATTTAAACTCAACTCTGCCGTCATATTTATGAATACCGTGAAGACCAGGAGGCCGTCGGCGTCCAGTTCGACAATAAGCTACAGAGAGACACTAACAAAGTGTGAAACTCCAATAAACGAGTCTTTGCTTCAGTTCCCACTCCGACCAACAAAGTGTGGCTTCTCAAGAGTCCGAATCGAATCGGTTTGGCTTTTAACTCGTCGGTTCTGCACATCCAGAGTCACATGAAGTGAATCTGAATGAATATCCTTTTATTATTTTACAGTCAAGGTGGGTTTGAAATTCAATTTGGATTATTTCACCATAAGTTAGCGACGAATTGTCTGATTTCCTTGACATTTAAAACGGCACAAATAGAATTAAACTCTGCTTTAATTTTCTGTGATCTTTACGTCTGCATTTTTATTTTAAAAGAGATAATGAACATTTGAAAATATCCTAAAGTTAGCCAAAAAGGCCAGTTTTCATCTGCAGTCCCTCAATTAATAAAAATACAGTGCAACACAGGCAAGCTAACAAACTTCTTCCATAAAAGAAAAACTGGAATAATAATAAAAACAATAAATAAAAAGCAAAAGTTAACCAGAAACTGAATGTGAAACACAAACTTCTAATATCAATCAATAAATAATCATGTTAAATTTGACATTTTTGCTTATTCCAGGATTTATCTTTGTAGACTTCAGGAAAATATTTGCTTTCTTAGCTTTATGTCACTTTGCTTATCTTTTCAACAAAGATGGCAGAATTTCAGTAAAGGTAATACACAATTTATTTTATTTATTCTACACATGTTTCATGACAACAGAAAATGTAAACAAATCAATCCTTTTACTTAGTCCCAGAAGAGCAGAAAAAAGGAAAACTGCAGATATTACCTAACACTGTCGTGCTCAGATAGCTTCTACTTTGTGTACTAATGGGTATTAATGCATATTTGGTGCTTGAAATATTAAAGTAGGCACTTATCAGCGTTTTTATATGGAGCCTTATGTATTTTAGCTCTTTGCAGGTGGTTGTGAATGCAATAGATCAGGTTTAATTTAAAAGAAAACAAACTAAAAAACTGACAGTGGTCAAACCTGAACAGCATTGTCAGGATAAATTCTTAAGAAAAATACAGTTTGGCATGTTGGAAATGTTTAATCTCTTCTAAGGGGATCACAACAGGGCAACATTTTTTATTTTCCAATTAGCTGTAGAATAAATCTACAACTTACACTGTAGGGCAACCTGACCCACCTTGATGTTCCTGCCTAATCTGCAAGGGCAGCACACATTAGATGATAATAACGTTCATAAACTCGGACATTTTGATGGAGAATCAGGAAGCTTTTTGCTGTTTCAACATGAACTGGCTGCTGTTTGCGGCGTCAGTCCTGCAGCGCCAGTCAATGTGAAATGGACTTTAACCTGGTCTGTTTAGCCCAACCTTAATTCCCATTTATAAGATTAGCTATCAACACGATAGCCGTATTGACAGTTTTTAACTTAATAGGATACATTAGATGGCGTAAGAGAAGAACATTAAACTGAACTGCAGCAGCAGACGTTGTTTAAATAATTTAAATGAACCAGGGGAGGATATATCAGGTAACCCCAACTGTACATAACGCTCGATAAAAGTTTGTCAGGACCGCTTAATATTTGTCCTCGTTATGTTGAGTCGGAGAAAGTTTTAATTACTTACAGTAAAGTACGCAAACGAGGCCGTTATTGTACCGATCCAAAAGCGGGTGGTCCGTTTAAAATAACCGATTGGAGCCATTGCTGCTGGTTAACGTTGTTCTACGGTGGTGGTGCCGCCGTCAAATACGACCGACTCGAAACAACGGTCAAACGTCCACCACAGGGGAGGTATTTTTGTTGTTTTTTAAAAAATTCAGTCAAAAGCTCGTATAAAAATAATAATAATAATTATAATAATAATTCTGTAGTGATAATATGACATGTGTGTAAAAATTATGTTCTGTGAAGGCTTCAGAGTGAAGACGAAGAAACACAGTGGAAAGGTCAAGGATAAAGTTGTGGAACAGTTTAAAGGTTATAAAATAAGGTTCTCGGTTTTGGATATTTCACTTAATGCTGCTAAAGTGTCTGACCTTAAAATAGGAAGAGTATGACACAACTACATACCAACCAAGACATGGCCGCCCAGTGTTAAAGATATTTGTACAATTGCAAAAAATAGAGAAATAAGAAAAGAAAAGAAATAAGTAGATTCCCACCAAAAGATGCTTGGTTTTTAAAATTATTCAAAGAAAAATTCTAGAAATCAAAATATGACATTTCTGAGCTTCAAAAGTTAAACATTTGCCAGAAAAAAAGAACTTGTCATCGTCTTTCTTCAAAAGTTGTTTTTTGTTGTTGTTTTGATTGTTTTGTTTCTGCAACACTACAGGTAAAGAGGTCAAATGTCACATGTGGGGTACTCCAAAGTTCAATCTTAGGACTCCTCTTATTCAATATTTATATGCTCCTACTAGCTCAGGTCACAACAGAAAATAATATTAGATACCATAAGTATGCAGTTGATACTCAGCTCTACATTATGATGTCACCAGGTGACCTTTGACCCCTTCTAATCACTGAATAAATGTTTAGACCAGATAAATGTGCAGATGTGCCAAAACTTTCTCCAGCTGTACAGAAGCAAACTGAAGTCATTATTTTTGGACCTAAAGAGGAACGATATAAAGTCAATGCAGAGCTTGTTATTACAACTAAAAACTAGCGATCAGCCCGAAACCTGGGAGTGGTGATGGACTCGGACTTGAACCTTCACAGCCACATAAAGACAGTTATAAAGTCGACCTTCTATCACCTGAATAACATCTCCAGGATCAAAGGACTAAGCCAGATCTAGAGAAACTCATCCATCCATTTATTTATTGATTTATTGATTATTGCAACAGCATCTTCACATGCCTGTCCAACAACACAGCTGCAGCGCACCCAGAGCGCTGCTGCTTGTGTTCTCACTAAAACCAGGACGATAGAGACATAACACCAGTTTTAAAGTCCCTCCACTGGCTCCCCATAGCTCAAAGAATAGATTTTAAAATGCTGTTGTTAGTTTACAAATCACTGAACGGTTTGGCACCACAACACGTTAAATCTTGACTAAAAACACACCTGTTTAGAGTTGTATTTGAAACGTAATCAATTAAAAAATTAATGATGGAATTTGACTTAATGTCATGTTTTGATTGTTGACTCTATGTTGCGAATGCACAAACATAAGTTTGTGCATTCGCAACCTCCAGCTGCTGCCTTTGTTGTGAAAATATAAGCTATTAACTTACATTTACTCAGTCCCTGAGCAAAATTCTGTGAAAGAGGAGCACGGAGCCTCATGCTGGAAGCCCTTTAAAGGCTGTTAACACCTTTATAAACTGTGTGATTGTGAGCGTGAGTGGGAATAAAAATACCAACAGGTATTTTGTTCCACATAACACAGTAGGAGTGAAACCAGTAAACCTTTTCCCCACCTGATGAGTTTGCGTTTTTGTGTTTCTTCTGATGTAAAGCACTTTGAAATGCCTTGCTGCCAAAATGTGCCAAACAAATACAATTTGATGGATTGATTGATAAAATATTATATTTTAATGTTTTCTTAGAAGTGGGAGAAGTGGATCTACTCCCACTCCCAAGTTTTAATTGTAATATAATACATCCATCCTCATTCAAACTGAAAGAGATCATCAGTATTTTACTAGTTTGACTTTTAAGCAATAAGTTGATTAGATGTTTGCTTTTTTAAAAGTAAAAAAAATATGTACATATCTCTGTGCAAGCAGGTCTGAGGCAAATGCAGCTGTTTGTAGTGATTTCACATTAGCTGGACAGTCTGTTGGCTGCAAAAGTTTCTGGTTATCTTTAATCACTCGATCATTGTATGTAAACCTGGAGCATGAGATGTAATCTCCTGGGACTGTTCAACGATACAGGACTTTTCCCCTTTCTCAGAAATGCATCTGAAATATCTTAGATCAGCTTAAAGTTCATTCATATTTTGAGTTTTATGTGTTATTTAAAATATGCAGATCTCGCATGAGTTACGTAAGATTGTAAAAAAAAAAATTCTGAGGTCACCTGATAGTAATTAGCTGAAGCACAGAGGGAGAAAGCGGGTCTCCACACAGCTGAGACATTGATTTTCCTTCTTTGGCAGATAAAAGATAAAACAGTGGCGCTTGCTCTGCTCTGATAACTAACGTCTGCATTGTCTTCCTTTGTATTTGCAAAACTGTAGATCTGCTCCTGCACTTTGCTCAACATTGACGTTTACATTATCAGTGCATTTCAGATGAAGCAGTTCACAGTGACCTGATATCTAAAACTCTACAAAAAAAAACTCTGTGTTGTACGTTTTCTGTTTAAGATGCAAACTTTCCAAGGAAATGTCATCCTAAAATGATTGCATTAAAAAAAAACAATTTCTATCATTTTTCATTTTTATAGTTGCCAAAGCTCTTCCAGCTTTGTCAACTATAAAACAATCTTATATTTTCAATGTTGTGAAAATATAAGATATTAACTTACACTTAATGTTTATCAGATGGTGTTACTTTCAATAACACCAGTATGATTTACATTATGCTGATATCAGGTATGTTAAACACAGAGTTGCTTTGGGATGATAAAGCATCAGGTGTTGACACGTTGGTTTATAGGGCCCTCTCAGGTCTTCTGGTTCTGGTTCTGCTCTGCATCCCCAGAACCAGAACCAAGAGAGGAGAAGCAACTTTCAGCATCTATGCATCAAAAATTTGGAACAAACTTCCAGAAAACTGTAAAACAGCGGAAACCCTGACTTCTTTTAAATCACAATTAAAAACACACCTGTTTAGAATTGTTTTTGAAATGTAATATGTAACAATGTATTGTCCATTATATGTTGCATGACTTTGTATTCTTGTGTTTATGATGTACAGCACTTTGAAATGCCTTGCTGAAATGTGCTATAAAAAAAAAATAAATAAAAAAAAAAAAAAAAAAAAACCTGCTTAGGGCCCCAAAAAGGTTTCTGGGTGTCCAAACGTCTCCTCCAGCAGGTTCATCCTTTATGTTTCAGATTTCAAACCTCCAACCAGAACTAATGAGAGCATTTGACTTCGTGTGAAAAGGTCAAAGTTTCAAGAAGCGTGGGTGTTTTTCTGTTAATATTCTGAGATCTGCCGAAGGTCTAGACATGTTTAAGCAGAAGATAAAGTCTGAAGGAGCTTTGAGCTAACAATCCAAAAGTCGAATCACTCACTGGGAGAGCCATCCATTGTCCCCACAAGTCTACTCTGCATATGAATGCCATTGATTGGTTTCAGGCAACTACTCCACTTCCACCTTTTTCTGAACATATTTCCCTGAGACTGTGTGTTGATGAATATAAAATTGTTATCGTCCCTGCTTCTGCTTTGGCGTTATAATGGCATATTACATTTGAAATGTAATATGTATGGATTTGATATTGTGGATATGTATGTATTCTTTTTTTTTTTTTTTTTTTTTTTTTTTTTTCCTGTTGTGGGCAACGGGGCCCGGCGAATACCCGTGATTAAACAGACGGCGGAGTCCGGCGGTAACAGGCGCTTAAATTCCGTGTCAAAGGGAAGGGGGAAGAAAGGGAAAGAAGAGGGAAAAAAAAAACCTTGGTATTTTATTCTATGTTGCATGCCTTTGTGTTTTGTGTTTATGATGTAAAGCACTTTGAAATGCCTTGTAGCTGAAATGTGCTATACAAATAAAATTTGATTGATTGATTGATAATCTGAGGCCTCATTGCAAACATTTGGTGTGAGGTTGAAGCTGAAGTGTGCAACTTTTACGTTATGTTGTTTATTTTTATGCATTTGTTAAAACTGTCACCGTGTCATGACAGTCTAATATGAGACAGATAATCAGAGAAAAGATTTTTTCATAAGCTATCATTGCTGTCTGCAGAAATGGACCAAAAGCAACCAATAAGGAGCAGATTTTAGTGTTGTCAATCATTATGATTGCTGTAAAATGTGCTAATGGGAGAGAAATAACTTACTGTTAACCCTCACCGGGCAGATGTTGCAGATTTGCAAAAACTAAATGCTACTTAGCTAGTCTTTGCAAGTAATTTGAGCCTGAGAGGGTTAAAGGAACTTTTTAGTCCATCTAACAAAAAAACTGCCTTAATATTCACTGGAGTTACAGAGAGTGACACGAGATTGTGATTGATTGCGCAAAGTCTGGCGCCTGGCTCCGATTGGTTGTTTCTGTAACAACAAGGTGACACTTTCAATAAAAATCTTTAAATTATATCCACTGAAAAATAAAACTGAAAATATGGAGGTGTTTTTCTGTCTTTTAACATCACGTGACCCAAACAGTAAAGTACCATCAAGGAGTTCCAATTGTCTTGATATTTGTCGTTGACCTTGCCTCAGATCTGGAGTGGGATGAGGTGAACAGGGGGTGTGGTCAGTGAATGGGGGATGCTCAGGGGTCAGAGTCCCCCCATCAAGCATCAAACACACCCAGCCCCGCCTCCTAATCCTGGGACATTTCAGGGTTCTCAGGTGATCTATATAAAGGCACTCTGAGCGAGATACGGAGGCCAGTCAGACAGTGACCTGAGTCCCAGCAGGAGCCAGAAACCATTTCAGGACAGCGGCTAAGATGTGGAAGGACTCCAGTCATGGTAAGACTTACGGGATAAACTTTTGTAGCTAACATGCATCTCTTCTATGATTAGAGTAGATTTTCTTAAGCTAAAAATCAACTATTTTATGACTAAAGTGGATTTTTTTTAGCTAGAAATCAACAGTTTTATCCAGATTTCAGTTTTGTTGAAACAGTCAGAGGCAAAACTTTCAGAGACAGAGGAAAACATGCATTTTGCTAAGTAGACACTGCTGTTTATTTATCATTTGAAGTTTATTGATATTTCATTTGTAAACTGTGTTTTAACAATGGAAAAACACTTTAAATTGATTGTATTCTTGTGTAAAAGTAATCTGCATGACCCCGAAAGCCAAATGTTACTGGTAGAGAATGTGAACATAAACAGTATCTCAGTGCCTTGATGTGTTGGACCTCGTCTATTTCTCCAGATGAGGTCCGGCCCGCGGCGCCTGGCGGCGGCTCGTCTCGCAACGCCAGCCGCAGGAAGAGGACCAGCTTCTCCAAAGAACATGTCGAGCTTCTGCGCGCCACATTCGAAACCGACCCGTATCCCGGCATCAGCCTCCGGGAGAGCCTGTCCCAGACCACTGGCTTACCAGAGTCACGCATCCAGGTAAGAATCTGCAGAAATAATGAGTTAGAACAACAAAATATCTCTAAGTTTGACTTCAACAAACAAATTACGAGAGCAGCAAAGAGAAAATGCATGAGAGAGAGAGAAGAAATATAAGAACCAGATATATACTTTGCAAAATGAAAAAATATATGAATTTATTTCTTTACATTTTCTTCTACTTTGCTTATTTCTGTCAAATCTAAAAATAATTATCATACTAGACACAGAGGGAAATCTTATTTATCTATTTCTGTGTTAGTATTTATCTAGTATTTCTACCTTTTTTCCCGTTTTGGTTTGTGTTGTGATTTTTCTGTTTTTTCTTTATTTGCATGTAAAAAAGGTTAAAAATGACTGAAATAAATAAATAAAAACCAAGATGAAACTAATACAGAAATGGTTTCAAACCTAGATATATTAAATTTTATGAAAAAGTGTAAAGTAATATTTTCATGCATGAGGTTTTTATAAAAATTAATTTAAAAAGTGTTTTATGCATACATTTACATATTTACTGTTATTATTACTGGATGAATTAAATTGAACATTTTATCCAACTCTGTGGAAACAGTTAATCCTCGATCGTTTATCATTTCTCTCTCATCTAAGTGCCAGATTACGGTTGCAGAAATCGCTGCGTTCTTTATATTATTGAATCAGTTTGTTGTTTTTATGCTTTTACTGTGAAAATCTAACTTTTTAAACGCCTCCTACACTTCAGATCCTACTAATCCATGCGTGTAAAACCTGAACCTGTTTTTATCTCTGGGGGGTTCTCATGATTCTGTTCCTGTTTGTCTGGCGAATTATTAACTGAATCTGTGTTTAATCAGCTCTGTATTTAAACACTGATGACTTCTTTTTGTTTTTTTTTTCATTTCCTATCCAGGTGTGGTTCCAGAACCGTAGAGCCCGCACCCTGAAATGTAAAGAAACAAAGAAGGCTCTGTGGCTGTCCCGCAGCCCGCATCATGATACTTTCGCTCCACCTCCAACCCTCGCCGGCACCGTGTCATCGGCGCCGCTGAGGCCACCGGGGCCGCCGTCCACCTACCCAGGCTCCCTCAAACAGGGAATGGAGAAAGCCACCTACTACAGCCAGTATCCTGCTTACTCTCCCCCTGGACAATACAGATCCTTAGTTGGTCCTCAGTGTAGACGCATCGTTGAGTCCAGCCCTCCCATGTGGGGCATGTGGCCCCAGCCCGGCACCCAACCCTCTCCTGCCCCCCCTCTGTGGTCCAATACGTTGGAGATGATGAGCTTCGCCGGCAGCAGTTCAAACATCTCGTACCCAGAGCAGCAGATGTACAGCAGCTCCTCCTCCAGCTCACAGATCTCCACTCCAAGCACGCCGGACTCTGGGTACTGGGACGGCAGCATCATGAACAGTCCTGTGCTGGGACGTCCGTACCCTCAGTTTTGTCCCGGGATGATTCTGGAGGAGAGCGGCGAACCGCAGCAGCCCAGGGTGGCCCAGCAGGTCCAGCAGGTCCAGCAGGTCCAGCAGGCCCAGCAGGCCCAGCAGGCCCAGCAGGTCCAGCAGGCCCAGCAGGCCCAGCAGGCCCAGCAGGCCCAGCTTCCTGTTCTGTCCCTGCAGGACATCCTGGGGGAGTTAGAGGAAAATTGGTTGGAAGAAGAAACTCTAGACAGTTGAGCTTCTGAAGAAAAAACTGCTTCCTATTGAAACTGGATCAGTTTTTTGGACATTTATACATTTATAAATAGCTGCAGTGTGTAACTTTTATAAAATTTAGCATAGCATATATGAGAATGATTCACAGTGCCTTCTGGTTCCAATCGGTTGTTATTGGTTGAGAGAGCTGCAGTACTTCACTTGGTGACAGTTTTAACAAATATTCTTTATAAAATTCACTTACTGCAGCTCTAAAGCATGCGCACCTTAAAAAAATGTACGGTTTGTGGGTAAATAATTCCTGTGTAATGTTGGAAATGCATGAAAATGGTTTTTAATTTAAAGTTTTCTCTTTTAACACAATATTAAAAGTGTTAAAAGCTTTGTGCTAATGTATTTATGAATTCACCAAATATTTATATAGCCTGACTGATAATTTCTGCACATTTATATTTAAAACTAATGATAATAAATCTGTGTTTCTAAAAGTTAACATTGTTTTCTTTGCTTTTGTCATTCTGAAAAACAACAACTTGGTTTAAATGAGCAGTGAAGAAAATGCAAGTCAACTGAGCGAACTGAAAATGATGTGTTTCATTTCTAAAGTAAGTAATAACTATCTTTATTTCAGTTAATATAGTTCAATGCTAGGACAGCTAGGGTCAGAGATTATTCAGCATTCAGTCATTGAATATAAATGATATGCAATCTAAAGTAAACTTTGTGTAGTTTCATTATCGCGCATTATTTGTTTTCCTAAGTGAAAGGTGCTGTTACATCTATTAAGTGTAACTGTCCGATAACTTACTTACCAGTTGCATCTGGTACTTTTTTGAATAACTTACATGATGATTTATTTAATTGTTTTTGTTACAACCCACCCCAAGACCAATAAGGGTAAAATCCGGCGCTGGTTGTAACACAAAAAACAAACAGTTGTCTGTAGCAAAATGTGGATAATTTATTTACAGTGCAGGTAAGTCAACTAAAACAAAGAACAGAACACAGGGAAGTATTTATCTTCAGGGTCTCCAAGGCCAAAATAACAAACAAAACACCCCCAACCCTGTCTACCTAAGAAATTAAAAAGAACTTTCTAATGGTAAATAGAAGAAAAAAAAAAGTACAAAACCTGAATTCCCTGCTTTCCATCAAAACAGGAGAAAAATGGTTGAACACAAATGGCAGAGAACTCCTACCAGCTTCCACTGTGAAAAAAACAACAGGTTTTAGTTAAACACACACTTCAACAGGCTCACAGCCAAAATCACTCAGTCGACAGTCAAAGTGTCAGATCAGGTCAAGGCCCAAACAAGAAGGGATCCAACACTGGTTGGATGAAGTTCTTTATGGAGTGGCTGATGAACTCCAACACATTTCACCTGAGCTTCACACATTTCACATTTCACCTCTCATGATCAAGGACTCTCTTGAGCCCCCTAGAGGTCAGTGACTGTAACACTCTCCCCCGTAAAATCCTACATAAAACATTTCTTTAACTTACAATACCACAGTGAGATAAGCAACATTATATCCTGGATAGTACATCAGCTATCACATTGTCCACCCCCTGAGCTAGACGAGCAAACAAAGTTTTCAGAGTGTTGATGTGATCAGTCCAGGTTGATGAATAGATTACAATAATAGTTTGACTCTGCGTTGAACTTAGTTGGTTCCTAAGTTGCAGTTTGTTTGAACTTGTGTAGCACTTAGCTTATCTCTGAGTAGTTTACCTCGACTCTGTGTAGCTGTTTGCTATTTGTAGCTATATGTTCAACTTTGCGTAGCACTTAGTGTAGTGGTGATTGTTTGTCAAACCAAACATTCAATAAAAAGTTTCATCAGCCACTATGAGGCACTGGGGTCCAGATTCTTAACACAGGCAAAAGAATCCCAAGGTCCAAACTTGTTGATTTTCTTTGTTGCTTTTATTTTCCTTTTATGCAAGCAATTACAATTATCAAACCTTTCTTTATTCTCTGGCACTGCTCTCTCTCTGATCTCTTGCACTGATCCCTTGCACTGATCCCTTGCACTGATCTCTTGCACTGCTCTCTTGCACTGCTCCCTTGCACTAATCCTTGCACTAATCCCTTGCACTGATCCCTTGCACTGATCTCTTGCACTGCTCTCTTGCACTGCTCTCTTGCACTGATCTCTTGCACTGATCTCTTGCACTGATCTCTTGCACTCTCTCTCTCTGATCTCTTGCACTGCTCTCTTGCACTGATCTCTTGCACTGATCTCTTGCACTGATCCTTGCACTGATCCCTTGCACTGATCCTTGCACTGCTCTCTTGCACTGATCCCTTGCACTGATCTCTTGCACTGCTCTCTTGCACTGCTCTCTCTCTCTGATCTCTTGCACTGATCTCTTGCACTGATCCCTTTCTCTTGCACTGGTAAAAACCATAGGCCCCAAACCAAAATGCCTGTTGGTCCTTTACCAGGCCCCTACATTTATAGAAGGTGGACTGACCCGCCTCACTTCCTGTCTAGCTTACAAATGATAAAAAATAGGAAAAAATAAGAAAACAAAACAAAATATAAAATCAATTATTAACCTGCAAATAAACTCTGTAAATAATGCAAAAAATAGAAGTTTAAGAATAAACTAACAAATTTCAAATAGATAAAGAAATAAAGAATAAATAGCTCCAACACTCCAGCCCCTAATTGCGAATACTGTCGCAATTACTTTAACAAGGAAAAGGAGCTATTCCATCAAACATGTCCATACTTTCTCAGTGTGATGCTTCCAGTAGCAACAGAAGTTTGGTCACAGGTCTTTCCAAAACACTGGTCTTCGTTTGTAGTTGCACAGAACGCACCAAGCCTTTTGCATCCTGGTTTACATTTAAGACTTTGGCCATCATCCAGGATCCTCTTGGAGCTGTAGAGTCTGCAATTAAAACAACATCTCCAGGAGTAAGACATCTTTTAGTCCTTGTCCATTTTTGTCTTTCCTGCATCAGAGGTAAGTACTCAGAAAGCCATCTTTTCCAGAACAACTCTGCCATGTATTGCACTTGTTTCCACCTTTTTCTGACATAAAGATCCTTTTGACTGAACAATCCTGGTGGCAAAACTGGTTTGTTCTTCAACAACAACAAATGGTTGGGTGTGAGTGCCTCAAGATCATTTGAGTCATCTGACACTTTGGTAATAGGTCTGTCATTTAATATGGCTTCAACTTCACAAAAGATTGTTTGAAGTCCTTCATCATCTAAAACTTGTTCTTTGAGAACTGAGACTAAAATACTTCTAATGGAACAAATCAGACGCTCCCAAACTCCCCCTTGGTGAGAGGCTGCAGGGATGTTAAAGTTCCATTTCATTCCATCCTGCACAAAAGCATTTTGAATTTTAGCATGATTCAGTTCAGCCAAACTCTCTTTCAGCTCTCGATTTGCACCAACAAAATTTGTGGCATTGTCGGATCTAATTGTGGAAACTGGACCTCTTCTACAGATGAACCTGCGGACTGCATTTATACAGGAATCTGTATCGAGAGTGTAGGCAATTTCCAGATGTACTGCACGGCTGGTGAAACAAGTGAACAGAACTCCATACCTTTTCAGGAGACTTCGTCCTTTAACACTTACAGGACCAAAGTAATCCACTCCTACGTTTGTGGTGGTTGGCAGAACTCTTTCTCCTGGCAGATCTGCCATTTTTTGTTCAACAAACTTTCCTCTGTTCCGTCTGCAAACAACACAATGAGAGATGATTTTTCTGGCAGCTGAATTACCATTTATTATCCAGTATTTTTGTCTCAATCTGGACAGCATATGAGCTCTCCCTGCATGTCCTAACTGTTGATGAATATGGCGTAAAATCAGGGTAGATACATGCATATCCTTTGTCAAAATTACAGGATGCTTTGCTTCGACAGGCATGGTTTTATTCAATTTGCCACCCACTCTAAGAACTCCAGCATCCAATACTGGGTCAAGTTTGCATAGAGAACTTCTCCTAGAGACTCCTTTAAGGCCACTGGTGATGAAAGTCATTTCAGTAGCAAATTTCTGTTGTTGTGCAAACTGAATGATAGATAGTTCTGCCTTGGCCAAGTCTTCAGGAGTTAGATTTTCTTTCTTTAGAGTGGTCTTGAATCTTTGCATCTGCTTTTCCAGTTCTTTCTTTTGATTTTCTGGATCAATTTTATTTAGGTCTACAGCAGCAAACTCTTTTCTTTTCTGTTGCAGAAAATGAGGATGTTTTTCAGCTTTAAAAACCAGGCAACAGAGGTTTTAAGCTTTGTCCATGATGAAAAATAATGAATCAGATAGTTTGTAGCATTTTCTGATTCCTCCACAACAACACTTACTGTTAGGTCCTTCTTGACCTCTGGGTCATCTGCAGGAATTGCATGGTGATCCACATCCAGTTTGGGCCATTCCTCCTCTGATCTGTGGAGAAATTCAGGTCCATTTATCCATCTCCTGCATTAGAGGAACTCCTTAGCTCTCATGCCTCTAGATGCATCATCTGCAGGATTCTCCTTGGAGGAAACATATCTCCACTGATTCACATCTGTTGCTTCTCGGATAACAGAGATTCGGTTTGCAACAAAGGTGTGAAATCTTCTAGTTTCACTGGAGATATATTTTAGTACTGTTGTACTATCAGTCCAGAAAACAGGTTTTTCCAACTGTATTTGCAGCTCTTTCTGCAGCAGTTTATTTACTTGAACTGCAAGAACAGCAGCTGTCAATTCCAACCTCGGGATTGTCGTTTGCTTCATGGGGGCAACTCTTGTTTTTCCTAAAATGAAAGCAACATGTGAGATGTTATTCTTTTCCAGTTTTAAATATGACACTGTTCCATAGCCATCTTGACTTGCGTCAGAGAAATGATGAAGTTGTGCTTCATCTGGTTTCCTGATGCAACTTGGTTTGATGCAACGATCCACTTTAAAACTGGATATCAGCTGGAGATCCTCCAGCCAATCAAGCCACTTCCTAGAGAGAGAATGGGGAATAACTTCATCCCACTTCAAATTTTGTCGACAAAGTTCTTGTAGCAACAGTTTAGCTGGCATACTGAAG